TGGAAGCTGCTTCCATCACGCATAGCTTCACAGCCAACATGTTCTATATGCGGGATGCAGTGGTTTCAGGGCATTTCTCTTGAACAGATATTATTTTTATGATGAACAGTACACTGGTGAAGAGTAGCAAGATGTATTAACTAAAAAGTAAAGCCATACATACAATAAAATCTTGTAGTGGGCTTCACTCTTTGACATCTTCTTCCCCAATTCATGTCACCTGTGTCAGTAACACCAGACTTATTCGGTTGATAACAGAGTTAACATGCTTGTCTTTTTTTTTTTTTCCAGGAATCCTACGGAGTATTAAACTAGAAGACAAGTTCACCCACACTTGGGTATACTGTGTTTTCCTGTTCATTGCTTAGATTATTAGGCCCAGAATGTGTAAATGTGGGACTTGCCAGCATAGCAGGAGAGAAGAAATTAAGGTACCCACTAGTACCCACCTGACTCTACCAAATGCACCCCTGTTGCACATGTGCTTGGGGGGCACATCCCAATTCTACGTCACACCATCTGCGATGGTGAACAGTGGAGCCCCATTTCCAAAAACTGAATTTGCTTTCCAAAAACGAAGTCATTTGGAAAGAGACTGGACATGCAGTGACTAACATGGGTCACGCCACTGTCAGCAAGGACTGACAGCGATGCTCCTCAGAACCAGTACGGGGGCCTCTTGCCTTCACATCATCCTCTTTCTTCACTCCAAAATTAAAATAAAGGAATGACTGCTAGACATATTTCCTCTCTGATCACGTATCTCTACCCCGAATGGGGCACTGGTAACAGGGCCAGTGTGGGTACGTTGACCCCTAAGAATGCAGCTCTCAAAGATCTGATTATGCATTTTGAAAGGTATTTTCTATCTCTGGCCCTGTGTGTATTTTACAGTGAACCCAGGCTAACAGACATGCTGCAGACAGGAAACATGGACCTACCTCCTATTCCTTATTCTAACTGTGAACTTCCTTATCAAATACCCACATTTGTTGGAGATTACCGGAGTTCTAAAGAGACCTGAAAGGGATTCTGGAGACTGCCCAATCTATTGGCCTTGGTTTTAGATGAGAAGAAACACAACAACAAGAAAAAAAAAAAAAAAAAGAACTGTCAAATGCTTTGTTCAAAATTACCTGGTGCCCAGTACCTTAACTTGCAACTCTAATTTGTGCTCATGACTATCCATTACCCCAGCATTGAAGGTTAACATCAGACAGGGAAGAATTTTACTGACTTTTTTCTAACAGTCTCTAACTTGCACAACAAGCCTACGAGGCAGGTGTAACTACCTCTCAGGAACACTTGAGGGAACCAAGTCACAGACCGCCGTTACCTATGAGACCTTGGGCGAGTAACCGGAAATGCACCCCAAGGTTGCAGCCCTGGTCCCATTGGAGAGCCCATGTTCTGGACATAGGGGGACACTGCTGCCCTGTGAGATGTGCTGAGGCGCTGGGTTAGAGAACTGACCGCAAGTCTCCACGTTACTTCCAGCTGTCATCTACTGGCTTTTATAGATGCAGACAAAATCCTTCATGGTTTTCAGACCTGCATAACACCTGCTTAGCCTATTTCCAGCTGTCGGCTGTCTGAAGGCAACAAGACAGTTCCTTCTAAAATTCTCATAATTTAAGATTTCCCCCCTCTCTCACACTGACCCTCACAGCCACTGGTTAGCTTGATACCAAGACTCTGTGTCTTGCCAGCATCAGATTAATCTATATGAACAGGATCAAGCATAAAAGCAGAAATCCAGTTGGCACTGCCGCTGCTTGGCTCAGCAGATCTCTCATCTCTTACAGCATGAAGGGACACTATGGGTATAAGTCCCACCTGGACCGTAACAGATCAGAATCAATGAAATTCAAGTGCATTGAGATTTATGATGTTACGATTAACTAGTATATACTTACTAGGAAAAATTACCAGGACACAAACATTTCTAAGGCTATTATTAAAATAGAAACTGGGCAAATTAGGCTTTCCCAAGCTCTGATTATCTTTTCTTTTTCTTAAAAAAAAATGCTCTTGACAAGAACATTAATTTTTATTAATCCTTGTAATTAAGCATTTAAAAACGTCTCTTGCCTTCTCATAGATTTCTAGGAAATGAATCCGTATCTCTAACGTTATAATTCACCAGACAACAGATAACTGATTTTTTTGGTAGTATACACAGTATAAATTTTAGGAATTCATTCAGAGGAAATGAAATTTTCCAGTGAAGGGGTAGCCTGAAGATCCTTAATTTTTTGATAAGTGAAGAGCTTATGCAAAGAACGGCTTTGTTCACTTCCTCATGTGTAAAGCCCTCCCCAGCAGGTGAGCCAGCCCAGCCTGGGTACTCAGCTGTCTTACAGACTTTCTCTTGGGCAGGCATGGGGGTTAAAGACAACACATATGTGCCTGAGCTGAATGTAAGGGACTCCTGGGCCCTCAAAGAATGTTTTAAATACCAAAGAATCCAACCCACTTGCCTAGGGTGCTGGTTTCTAGCTTGTCTGTGTGACTATTACAGAATGGGACACTGTGGTGGCTCGGTGCTCAGCCAATGGCTGTTCTGCTGTGTCTTTGGATATTAAAAACATGCTGCTTCTTTCATCTGTCCAATGGGTATTTACGTAGAGTGGATCGTGTGGCGGGAGTGCTTTTGGTTGTTTTCAGATACACTAAGGGAACAAAACAGAGAAAGTCCAGGAGAGGAGGAGAGAGAGAGAAAAAATAAGACAAATAAAATAACTTTACAGTATATTTAAAGAGAATAACTGCTTTGGGAACAAGGGAGTAGGATCCAGGGGAATCAGAGCTTAGGGGGAGACGACATTTGAGCACATAAGTGATGGAGGAGGAGGGGTGAGACACACGGTCACGGGAGCCTAGCCAGAGATGCCAAAGCACAGGCCAGACGAGCAAGGCTGGCCATGTGTCCGCAATAATGTATGTCTTAGAGGTCATTCTCTCTAGACCTTGATTCCTTGTCCATCTGAATACCATGGACACTGCAACACAGATCAAAACCCATGTGTAAGCGCTGGAGGGCCAGCACCATCTCCGGTCGCCAATTGCTGGGCCGCCTCTGATGTGCTCTGACAATTCCCATTTGTGAGGCTGGACAACGCATCTGCCTCCACCTCACGGTTAGCACACCACAGTGAACTTGGTAGTTGAGGCCAGCCAGGAAGAGGCCAGGGACAATCTTCTGGACCTCCGGTGGCCAGGCTGGTGTCAGGGGACCATGATAAGGACTGCGAACGTTTTGCTCTGAAAGCTAGCAGGTAACTATGTGAAAGTGAAAATTTCAATCCTTACAAAGCACCCTGGAGTGAGGCAATTCCTCATGCTGCCCACAGACCTGAGACCCATGCACGTGGCTGATCTGCCCACTCGGAAGGGCACTCTGACATGACTGTTAGTATGTAAACCAAGGGCATGAGTTATTTTGGCTAATGGATATCAAGAACTGAATTATAAAAGACTGGGTTACAAAGTTTAGAAGTTAATACAGCAGCCCACCGTGTTTGCATTAGTGCTTTAAGTAGATAAATTAAATTGGAATGTGTCTCTTAAGCAGTCATTGAACAAGCAGGATGAGAAATAAATTGAGCTTCACATCGGCCTTTATGGCATCTAACAACCGCGTCTGTCAACACACGGATCCTTTTCACTGTCAATTCAGCACACATTTTGCAGACCTTGGGCCTGCAATTATTTCATTTCCTTTCTTGGAAATGTAATTTCCACTTACTTTTGCAGAATAAAAGGCAGACAAAAGGAGGAAGGAGTTGCAGTATTTTCTGATTAAGATTATCTGTGTAAAACGGTAAAGGGAAAAAAAAAATCTATACACACACACACACACACACTGAAGCGTTTCTGAGAAACTAACTTGTCTCAGCCGAGTAGCTTTTGTGTCTGGATATTGGTTCAAATGTAGCCAGATTGTTGATGTCAAATTAGGTGTTAAGCAAACTTAATAGGGAAGCTGAAGAATGAGTATAGATCATCTTTCTGTTTAGAACCGTGCAAATGACTCCCGTCAAAGGAAAGGAAGCACATGACCGCAGGAGAAAATGCGCTTTTAAACACAATGAAATTAGATAAAACTCTCAACAGCAAAGAAGGCCACTCAGCAACAAAGAGGGGGGAAATGTTAACAGTACCAAGAAGAGAAATGCAAGACAGGAAGAAAACACCAGTTGGCAAAAATAGATCCAAATTGAATTTCAACTTCATTTGCCCAGGTTTCACCTTTTCAACCAAGACAGGTAGAGCTTAAAAAAAGAGAGAGAATTCTTTCTCTAGCAATAACAGGAAATCAGAGGTTCAATGAACCGTGATTCTATCTGGCTGATCTGATTTGCCTTCTTTAAGTGACACACTGGCTGACATTCTAGCAAGAAAACCAAGATCAAACTAACATCAAAAAGAGCCTGCCATTGTTATCCAACAATTGGACCCTGTACCAGGTGTGACTACGACACAGCCAACACGCAGGACTCGTTCTTGGACAAAGCACCTCTTGGAAGTGAGCCTACAGAGAGAAGCGTGCACAGCATGTCTGCACCCTTAGCAGGAAGGCACATCTTTGAGGACCAGAAGATGGGGTTGCAAACACACACCCTTCCAAGTAGCCTCACAAAGATCTGGCATCTTCTTCAACTGCGCATAAACCACTAAGACGCAGGTATGACATCGTGAAGCAGCCTGAAGACCATTCCAGGTCAAGTCTTTGCAGAAATTGTGTGCCAAACCAAGTTGGTGGTGGGGGCGGGGGGGGGGGAATGGATTCTCTTCTTCTGGGGCATCTGCTTTGGAATTGAAGCAGATCCTTAAGACAGGAGACTAGGACCGAGAGTCAGCTCATGGAAAGAAAGAAGAATTACATGCTGGTTGGTCCAAATCACAATCTCATCAAAGAGAAACAAACCAAAGAGACATACAAGTTAGTTGTGAGGGATTCTGCTACACACTACTTAGCAAACAGTATTATTACTTACTCAAGCGTAACCTTGGAACTTGCGCATCCTTCCAATTTACGGGGCCCCTCACCTGTATCAGGTGTTGGGGGGGACGGGCTGTTGAATTCTGCCTCCAGAGTTTTCTTGTTCAAGGCTGTTTTTGATACACTGGATACAGAACCCAACACGGGCATGGATTTGGACTCTGAGGTGGCTAATATCCCGCTCGGACCTTAAAACCAAACACATACCTCAAGTTTAATAACTCTGCACGATGCTTACAGACATGGCACTGAAAGAACAGATTAACTAGGAAAAAAAAAAAACAACCTCTCAAGCGGGGAAAAGGCCAAGGTTTTGTGCTTCGTCTTGTTTTCAACTTCAAGAGCAGGCTGCAGAATGCCCCCACTGGAAGCCTGCTCTGCTGCCTTTCAAGGCGTGATGACCACGCTGAGAACCGCACACAGACCTTTAAGAGAATGCAAATCCCACGGCCACGGCCCCCTCCCCGGCCAGAGACCTCAGCAACACCCGGCGTCTTTCCTTCCCCAGAGCAGGGCTGGTGGATGGCCCTTGTTGAACCATAGGCCTTTATGGCCTCTCCCCTCGAGTTAATTCTTCCCCAAACTCAGCTCTGTGTTTTAAACAAGAAATGGAACAATATCAAAGGGCTCTTTAAGAAAAAAAAAAAGGCTCATGAAGGCTTCTTGAGTATTCAATAGCTTTTATGAACATTTTCATTTTAATGTGAATGAGAAGTAAGTGGATTTATTTCCTCTTAAAATATGGACACAGGATTATAAAAATCAAGTGGCAAGAAGTTGGGCTGTTTGCCTTTTGGACTTTCTTGCTGTTTGTGACAGGATTTTAAAACCACAGCAGGGCCTGTTATTGACATTCCTGGCCTATCAAGCTAAACATTCAAGGCACTGAAGCTAAGTCCTATCATAAATTGTTGTCTTCTTCTTTCTATCTTTAGGTACAAAATATGTGTGTGTGTGTGTATATATGTATATTTTTCCAGTACCTTCTCAAAGATTCTGGTGTACCTTTCCTGAAATCTCAGAAGGCATGCGAACTGAACACCAGTTTCCAAAGTCGGAGCCGAAAGAGCGCAGAGTGTGTTTCATCTCCGCCTCCTGGGCAGACGACCTCGTGACATCACATCGGCTGTGAAGCTTCTGGTTCAAAACGCCTTTTCCTCCTACCTGTGGACAGGCAGAGAGATACGGAAACTGGCTCCTGAGTTCCAGTATGAAGCTGGATACAAGACGTGCCTCAGACGAGCCTGCGTCTGTCCCTGGCTAACTGCTGACGACACATGGCAGGGGGCACGCAGCAGTCCTTCCCTCTGGGAAGCAACACGTCTGTCCACACCCACGCCACTGTTGCTCTGTGGCTGAAGCCACTGCGAAGGAGGGAGAACCTGGAGCTCATTTCCTCACAGAGGAGAAGAAACAAAGGAAAACACACACCATTTAAGAGCAGGGTGGCGGTGCTCTCTGAGACAATCAGTCTGGGAGGCCACACAGCCAGTAGGAACAAAGAAGTGTCAGACACAGCAGGAAAAGTGCCTGGCTACCCACTAACCTGAACCCGAGCTCTGCCAACCCCTGCTGACCCTTCCTCTCAGGTCCTCACACTCACTTCCTCAGGAGCTACCCTGTGTGTGTGGGAAGGGGAGGTCTCTTAGAGACCTGCATGAATCTGTGCACAGACGCACCAGCCCCTCATCTCTATAACCTGTGCCAGGCAGCTGAGCTCTCCGAGCGGCTCCTGTATTTCTGCCCCTGGAGTTTTCACACTGCCTTTAAGATGAGATCTACACACACAGTGTGGGTCGCAGGGATAGGGAGGGAGGGAGTTGTGCCTGGGTGTGTGTGTGTGTGTGTGTGTGTGTGTGATGTGTGCTTGTACACTTGCAGGCAGGAAGCTGGAGTCAGGATGGGGCTGGACGCTGTCGTGTACGAAGGGGAAACAAGTCTCATGGCAACCCCTCAACTACACGTCTTCGGGGGAGCTGGTTCTGCGGAGGGGCTGGTGCTCTGTTTTGTTTTGTTTTGTCCTGTTTTGCTTTGTTTTGTTTTGCTGTTCTGCTGCAGTGTCCTGACAGGACTGTAACAATTTCCAAACCAAACTAAAAACTTAAAGGCTAGTCTTTTTGTTTCAGGATAAAGGATAGATTTAGCTTTATACAATACAGGCTGGAGGGCATCACATTGCTGCTGTTGGGGCAAGAAATCATTCATTCAACCATCTGAGTAGTTTTCTAAGGCAGAACTAGAGCTGGTTTACCAAAAATTCATCTTTAATTGCTCCAGCCACGTCAATCTGGCCAATGCAACTCAACATTTTGCAGATGTAAGATTTAACAGTGGACTCTCCGAGGTGGAGTAAGCCCATCCCAGGAGATGCAGCCACAGGTGCTGCTGACTGGCGCTGTACGATAGCTGTTCAGAGGCGGCCTCCTCCCTGGCTTGGGTGGAAAACCTCAGAAGGGTATCTGCCAGCTCCCTCCACCAAGCCGAGGTCTGGAGATGCCCAGTCACCTACCAGCAAACAAAGGGCAAACACGCCGAGGAACAAATATGCCAAGGAATTCTGACGCGATGTCCCTCAGTACCTTTACCCAATCCAATACTTCTCATTCACACTAAAACCGAACATTTTCGCGGTTGCTTCTGAAAAGAGCGCCTTGTGTTAAAAAGGAATGCAGAGGAAGATGTTTCTTAGAGGAAGAGCAGGAGCGTGGAGAACTGAAACCGGCTTACTACTGCTATCTGCTTCTGCCGTCACTTTCCGGCGACGCAAAATCCTCTCTAACTCAGTTTCACTGCTCTCAGGCTCAAGGGATTTTAAGCTTCTCGAGCTAGTAGATTTGTTAAGTGCTCCCTAAAGTGAAAACAAAAGCAAAAAGGTTAACGATATAACACAATATACAAAGGAGTGTAGAAATCAAATACTAAGACATTACCAGAATTTGAATGGGATTACAAAAATAAAAACAAATTGGCAATACATATAAATATAAAATACATATATGTGTGTGTGTATATATTTATATATAACTGCACGTATCATCAACCACCCGCAGTGCTGCAGATTTGAAGATGCCATCGGTGATGTGGATGCCAGCGCCTGCACTGAAAGGGCAGTACAAGAACACCTCTGGATGAACTCACTGAAGAGCGTCGTCAGGAGGAAGGCACCTGCACACTGATGAATAAGAGCCTGATGTGTGTTGATCAGGGCAGAAGAGGATGGCCATATTAAACTCACCTTCAAAGGCTGTCTTGATACAGCAACCACGAACTACTAAACCTAAATTCTTCTAGCACCAAAAGAAAAAAAAAAAAAGTGGCAGACAGCAGGCACTGGCTCCACTTAATGGCTAATCCTAATGGCTAACATGGTGACAACGCTGTGGTGGCTGTCAAGGGAACCATACTCTGCAGCGGCCAGGCCAAAGATTGCCAGAGCACCTCTCAACTTCAGGGTGAAAGAAGCCAAGTGGCCTGGCTCACCTCATGTGGGCAACTTACTTCCGTGTTCGCAACAGGGGACACCGGATGTGGGATTCAGGAACCAGAAGGTATGGAAGGCAATGAGATGGCCAGCGTGCTGTGTTCCTGCAGAAATGGACTCTGCCATCAAGAAGACGGAGGAGGACCTACAACTGTTTCCCAGGCCTGGCCCCTCCCGGAATCATGCAATGGAGGGAGAGTTAAAATCCCCACCTCCACGGCTGCAGGTGCCTGTACGCAGCACAGGACCAGGTAAGTCTTCCTGGTCACAGTGAAGGACTGGTGCTTCAGCACTCCAAGACTTCCCTAAGAAATCTCTGTTGTCAACTGTGCCACCGGTGGAGGGGGGAGGGGCCGGGGGACACACGTTTTCCATCAGAGACAGGAACCTCCCATCTGGCTGGCCCTGCCTGACTTCAGGCTGCAATATGAAGGTGGAGTCTGTCCACCAAGCTAATAACCAGCCTTGGTCAAGGCTAGACTCACTCTGGGGCTGACACAATCCTGCCAATTTTTTGGAGGATTCTGAAAATTCCACTGGTTAAATGGAAACTCATGTTTCTTTTTCAGTTTGCCCAATAAAAAAATGTGACTCATAACCTGAGATGCCCACTGATTTCACATGATTTAGGTAAACCATGTTATTTGGTTTAGAGAAGAATTTTCCCTACCTTCTTAACAGTAGAGAAGCAGCTGGGTGCCACGTAGGCTTAGGGGGCACACTGGGCAGCAAGGATGGGAGATCGTACTGGTTTGCTGTTGGATGTCTAACCACTGACTTAAGACACATTTAGAAAAGGTCCATATTTTAATCTGGCGTGTTAACACTTGTGTCCCTGGAAGTACCTCTTTTTCCTTCTCAATTATTGCAAAAAAGCATAAAACATATTTAGAGCAAAAGCACATTCACATGTTAACACTATAAACATTTTTTCCTTATCCTTAAAAGCAAGATCACCTGACTTATGTTTTAGCCCAGCGGATCTTATGTACCCATGCAAGAGGCAAATGGTAAGGTACGGTTCATACGAACAAGGTCAAGGAAGCAGAATTACAGCCACCAGACACTTCTGAGAGAATGAACTAGAAAGCTTGTGTTATTTTTCTTTCAACTCCACATGTAGCACGTACAGACAGATATAGGAAAATTGTCATTAAGATGACCTACAAAACTACTATTTGAACAGCAAACACACAAGATTTTCTCAATGACAAATTCAAAAAAAGGTGTGTGTGGCAGAGATGCAGGCGCACAGATGCACACAGCCCCTTCCAAAGGCATTTTGATTGATGAGTTTATCATTCACTTTTTCACTTGGAAAACAGCATTATTTTTCTAAATTCCTAATTCCCATCATAGCTGACTGCTGAAGAATTTTTTTTTTCATCTTTTAACTTCCCACTCTAGAATCTCTACCTCCATTTATTGGCTGATAGGATTGATTCAGCAAATATGTGCCATTATTGAGACAACACATTGCACAAAGTTGACATGAGGGAGAGTCAGCTATCTTATTGATTTATATTAGAATCATAGAATGTAGGAACCAGAAATCAACTTTAAAAAAACCACATGGTAATACAATTTCCTCTTTCCGTATCAGAGGACTCAGTCATGGTGAGCCACTGGGTGTGAGCCAGACTCCACACTGAGTGGGACGTAGGGTGTGACCCAGAACTTCAGATCTTCTACTGCTCAAAAACAGTACTTTTCCTACTTTACTTACCATTCTTAGTCCCATGCCTGTCCACTGTTTATACAGTGGCACGCAAATTATCAGGTGGCAAGATTATTCATTCGGGAATTCCTATATATTTTGATAAACTGAAGCTGTTTAACACAGAATTCTTTATAAGCTGCTTTTCTTTAATTTAGAAACAACTGGATTTAAGAGACTTATATTAACATGTACCAATGTATTCTTCAGAAATTGACGTTGTCACTAAGAGTGGCTTTTTTTTTTTTTAAATGACTGGAATTTCTCACAGTTTCTTTTCCCGAACCTCAAAGCCTTTGTATGACTGTGAGCTTCTGATCTGGGATCCAGCTTTGTGCCGCTGCAGGTGGAATTCCTGGCTCCTGGCTTCAGCCATGGCCTGCACAGCCGTTGGACACACTGGGGGGATGAATTGGTGATGGAGGCATATAGTAGCCTGCTCTCTCTTGATCTGAGCCTCTTGATTGATTTTTTTTAATTAATTGGAAGGAGGTTTGGAAAAATAAGTTCAATCAATACTAAGATTTTTAAACTTGACTTGAAAATTATACAGCTTGAAAAGTAAAGTAGGTCTTTCCAGCTCTCCCGAGAGCATTGCACAGGTCTGTCATGTTCCTGGCCACTCCAGCAGGGTCAAATCCCATAACTACCAAAGGACTCACCCTGAGCTGCTTCCCAGCTTCTGTCCTATGAGAACCGAATCCCATGTTGCTGGGTTTCTTGGTCTCTCTTTTCACAGGAGCATACCTTCCACCTCAGCATACAACCACAGGCTGTGTGTGTGTGTGTGTGTGTGTGTGTGTGTGTGTGTGTGTTTTGTCCTGCCATCATGATGAGGATGGACTCATTAATTTTGATAGTTCTAACACACAGTGTGAACTCCAGCAAGAAGCACTAAGAAGAACTCCGTGGTTTGGCAGGCTGGGCTAGGGTCTCGCTTTCTTCCTCATTTACAAGAATGGCCAGGCTTCTTTGCTCCAGGAGCGGAGACTGGGAGTTGCAAATGGTGCCTCATTCCCCAAAGGAAATAACTAAGCGTAAACAGGAGAACTGCCACTTGGCCAAGAAGAGCAAGGGAAGAGGATCACATGTTCCCCTTCTTTTAAAAATGCCACGCACAGAAAGAAAACAACGGCCAAGTGACAATCGTCAGTGATCTATCCAAGCCACAAGAGGCAGGGCAAGACGATGCTGGACAAGGGTGAGAAGGACTGACTGAAGTCAATTCGTAGAACAGAAAAAAAAAATGTTGAAAAATTTTTGTAACCTCTAAATCATTTCAAAAATTTCTTTCCTTAATGCACCACACAATTACCCCAGCGCTATCTATAGGGCTATCAGTAAACATGCTATCACCCGACATGATCATGAAATGCATAACTATAGCAGGGCTCTTGCATGAGTCTTTTGATGCATATTAGATTCATATTTTTAAAGTCACACGAAGGTTTGACAACTGATACAGTGCTTAAAACACCAATTAGGTTGCCCATGCCTCACATCAAGGTACTTGGGTTTGAGATCCTGACCCTTGGGAGCAGCAAGTGACGGCCCAAGCAACTGGGTTCCTGTCACGCATGTGGGAGACCAGATGAAGTTCCTGGCACTTAGCTCCAGTCTCAATTGAGTCCTCCCTGTTGTATTTGGGGAATGGTTAAGTAGAAGCTAGCTTGCTCTTTCTTTCTCCGTCTTTCTCTGCCTCTCAAAAAAATTTTTTTTAAAGAAATGAAATCCTCAACAATTTAATGTCCCCAGGGACATCTTCATAAACATGAATAAGCACTATTAACACAAGAAAACAAAAACAGGGTTACAGAATGTTCTCCTTAACAGAGCACGGATAGCAATATTTTTTGATCACAGGATAGTTTAGATAACAACCACAAGCTCATGCGTGTAGTAGTTTTAATTCTTTAGTCAGTCCTCGGACCACCACTGCTCACCAGTGACACACCTCTCTCTTCAGAGATAATCCCACTCTCCTAAAACTGAAGCAAACCAATTAAGCCACCCTGCGCCAAGTCTCCTGTACAAAGACAGGCTGGATGAACGCAACGCTGTTTACCACAATTATGTGGATGTCGATGTGGAATGCATAATTAGCACCGTGACAACAAACACAGGAGCACCGAGTCCCAGACCTCCGCCACCGTGTTTGGGGACTTACTGTGCATAATAACCGGGCTGGGGACAGCAACAAGATTTTAAAACAGTGTGTCTAGGGCAGTCCTGCGTGAGGGCTCCTCTCTAACAGCCACTGGTGCCTGCTCTCTGGCAGGCGCTCATACTTTGGAAATCAAAAGTGTGGCTGGAGATGGGTCTCCAGAGCATGCCCCAAGGGGTGATAAACCGCCTGTAGCAAATGAAATTAGCAGCATAAACAAAGGGACTCCTGCTGCATCTTCAAATCAACCATCAAATGACTGTTTCAGTTGCAGGCTGGCAGACTGTGGCTCTGGCACCCACAGACTCTTGTGTGGGCAGGACTCTGTTCTCACTCTTGGACCCCAAGTGAAATATTCTTACAACTGAGTAGACACCTGATCTTCATGCTGTAATGTCACAACTGGAGAACAAAACCAGAGAACAACGACCTTGGGACAAGTGTTAACCACTCTTTCAGAATGACCAGCAAAGTGTTATTTGATGTGTTCTAAACACATGTGGTGGAGGAGCCCATGAGTACAATCAAGTAAATTACCTAAAGGAATGAGCCTAATAGTAAATGGAAAGAAAACACAGCAAAAACTATCATCCTTAAAAACAAAATCACGTTTAAAAACCATTTTCCTTTCCTTTCCCCTTTCATGATACAATCAACCAAACTCTCTTCTTACCAGTATTCCTTTTAGTTCATTCACTGCACTTTCGGAGCCTTTTGAAGAGTCCGGCTGCAGTTTCAAAAAGGAAAAAGAAAAGATTACTACTTCAGAATCAGAAGATTCAGTCAACAAAGATGTCTGCACGGCAGTGCTGTTGCCTTACACGGGTGGTATGTATGGTTACACACTATATTTAATTATATTTCCTATGTCTTAAGGTTAGGAAAAAAGCATCAGCCATATTCATACTCCCAGGCAGTAATTACATGAAGATTGGAAGTCACATTCAAAGCAAAAGCATTCAAGCCACGTCTTTGTTATCTCCTGGTTATCATCAAAGATAGAAAAGCAGTGGTAAATATCAGATTTTAAAGATTTGACTCCAAGTGATTCAGAACTTCTTAACAATTAACCTTCCTCCACTGTAAGGTGGGGCTTCTGCAGGGAAGCGAGGGAGAGGCGGCGGCCGGGTGAGCGGAAGGCAAACAGCAAACAGCGAGGCACAAAGCCTCCTCGGCCCCCTGGACTCAGGCCAAGGCCAGCCCTTAGGGGACGGTGTATCTGAGTTCACAAACACCACAGCAGGACTGAGTGGGGAGAGCAGGATCCCCAGAAGGACCAGGATGTCAGCTTAACACAAATCAGACCCAGGAGTACAGGTAGGTGTCTCCTCCTCATGTCCCATTCTCTTCTGGCCATACCAGGAGAAAACTCAAGTGAAATACAATTCTAGGTCCTATCTGTCTGCCCCAGAAAAGCCGAACAGTCTCTATGAATCCCTCAACTCATGCGTGGGAGGACAAAGAGCACAGGAGGGAGGACCCATCTCCCCTTGCCCTCCTCCCTTCTCCAAGGACAGGGAGCAAGACAACCTGCCAGACCGACAGAGTTGGGGGAAGTCTTGGGAGGGTGGCGGGGCTCCTTGCTCTCAGCCAGTCCATGAGAGGCTCCGCAGTAACCAGGATCCTCAACTCCCACAAGATAATCCAGGGTGAAGAGGGCACCTCACTGGTTAACAGTGGAGACAGAGAAGCAACGATGGGGTGGCAGGTGGGTGTTGGAGGTCAGGTGCACCCTGGACTGAGGCACTCCATTCTCACGGTTCAGGATTTCTGTGAACACCAATGCCTTCAGTGCCAGGCAGAAGTTCCAAGACATGCATTTCCTGCAGGTGGGCACCACCAACATCACCACAGAATTTGGAAGAGAGGCAGGTACAGGAGTAATCTCAGGGCACACTTGTCTTTTACAGGTGACACGTGATAAGCCATCGGGTAACAGCCATGCATTCTGAACAACTGCCCTGCCTCGTGTAAGCCAGCATGTCCCTCACGCTGCCCTCCCATACAGCTGTCTTGAGGTCTAGTGGCACACTCAGGTCTGGCCACATGAGCTCCTAACTGTTGATGGTATTTCAAGAGACCACAGAATGTCCCAAGCTCTTGGGGCCCATCTGAGTCGCAGGCAGTTCTGGTCAATTTTCCAGCACAGCTCATCTTAACCAGCAAAAGCCCTGGTTTCCCTTCAGTCGGGTCCGGCTATTGTTCAGATTCTAGCTGGGCAGGAGATAACAGGGTTCTACACAAAGGCTTGTGGGACAAGAACTAGGGTGCCAGCTGCTCCAGCGAAAGGGACACTGCCTGTGTCTGAAGCAGTTTCCTCTTTCAGTGCGGGGCACCTCTTTGTCCCACTGCATTCTTTGCTAGGCATGGTCTGTTTTGCTTATTCTTTCCATACTCGCTGCAACCCCAAACTTAGAAACGCTTTCTCTCCAACAGTGGCGCCTGGACCTTTAACTTACTGTTTTTCTCCCACGTTCTTCCATGTGACCCTGACACCTGCCTTGTAAGTTCAAATGGGACAGGTGTGGTCCCCATTTTATAGTGGGGAAAAAAGCACGGGGAAGCCGTTAAGCAGCAGGCCCATTGTACTCCATGCTCGACGCTGGCATACCTTGCTCAGCTCTGCTCACGGAGCACAAATACAGTGCCACCAGTGCCCACCGCTGGCTGAGGCGTGTCCTGCCCTGCATGCGAATCTGCCCTTGAATGTGGTGTGCATTCACTTCTGCCCAGCCACAGCCCATGCCAGGGCCACTCCCACATAGCTTGGCCACCTAGCCTGGCTGTGACACAGGACACCTTCAAATGCTCACGGGCACATGGACCACTCAGTCATGCTGCTCAGGAAGGCGTTCATTAGGGTGAAGGGAGAAAGACCCCAAATTACAGCATGGTGGAGAAGAAAGAACAACAGTCTGTTGACCTCCAGAGTGAAGGAAGAAAGAAAACAGTGGGGCAGGGACGGCAGGCAAGAGGGAGGAGAAGGTGAGGGAAGGAAAAAAATACATAACTCAGAAAAAACCGTCAAAACCTCCAAGGTTGGGTCTGTTTACACGTGACTGATACACAGAGGCGGGGCAGTGCTGCATGACTCAAAACCCCTATAGCCAGTGCTTGCTGGAGCCTAGCTTAGCAGACATTTGATGAGATATATACATACAGATACAGAGATGGCACAGATACAATAACCTCCTGGAAATGACTTGAAATATGTTTGTAACAGGAATGAAAAACAATGAAAGAATTCTCAGTATTTTTCACAAGTTGTCTGTACTCTGTTTTGCTGTGATTTACACACACACACACCCCAGAAGTGCGCAGAAGGCCAGGATTCTGTCTGTTTCGTTATCTACCACTTTACCTCCAGGCACCTCCAGCAGTGTCTAGCATGGGGCACTCAACAGAATGACACAAAAGAAATGGGGGTCAAAGGAAGGGGAGGGCGCCCACAGGTGCCAAGTTGCAGCTTCTGTCAACCTCTCCCTGAGCAGGGGTGAGGTGACTGCACCCCACCCACACTGGCACAGCTACTTCTGTACCCATCTAGGTTCATCACGGGTCAACTGAGATCTTCACTCACGCACAACAGAGGACTTCATCCCGGGTTATGACAGCCAGCCCCTGCTGTAGCTTGCAATAAGCTTTGCATTTTCACTTTACTAAAAAGGGAAGATTCGGGCAGAGGAAGAGGGGAGCTTACCTGTGTCTTGGGTCTGGTGGTCTGATTAACAGGTCTGAGATGAACCCCCTTTTTAATTCTATCCATCATCTCTTCAACTGCTTGCCGCTTGAGATCTGTAACTTCTTCGGCTGTTCAAACAACACAAGCATAAATCTTCTGTTACAACAGTAAAGCCCCGCACTGGACTAACTGGAAAAACTGCACTCTATCATTAACCACGACCAATTTTCAGATGTACAGACTACCCATAACTTACAGTTTCCAGGCAGCACATTTTTTAAAAAAGTTATCAGAAATGTAGGAATTTAAAAAAGAAGGCTGAATCTGTAGCTTGCCAATCAGTATGGTCATGGGGACTCAAAATATTTTGTGTATCTGTCAACATAATCACGGCTCTCTGGATTGCTCTCAATTTTCATTTATTTGATTTATATTTTAAAGATTTGTTTATTTCTATTGGAAAGGCAGATTTATAGAGAGGGGGACAGACAGAAAATTTTTCTATCCGTTGGTTCGCTTCCCAAATGGTATAATGGCCGGAGCTGAGCTTCTTCTGAGTCTCCTATGTGGGTGAAGGGTTCCAAGACTTTGGGCCATCCTTCACTGCTTTCCCAGGTCATTAGCAGGAAGCTGGATGGGAAGTGGAGTAGCTGGGATATGAACTAGTGTCCCTATGATATGTTGTGTTTGCAGAGGAAGGATTAGCCTGTTGAGCCATCGTGCTGGCCCCTGCTCTCACTCTTTGAAAGTCCAACTTAGAACCTAATTCCAAAATAATCATTCACCTTCGCCTCAAAGATGCTGTTATAACTTAAGCTATACCCTGTCAAAGAAACAAGCCCAAAGAAGGAAAACATTACCAAAAGCTTATTTAAAAAATAATAAAAGGATCAAAGAGTTGTTTTCCCCATTGGAAGAGTCCGTAGTGAGAAAAGACATAGGTAAGATCTATTTTTAAGTTGCCATCTTTTGCTCAGAAACCACATGGAGGGGCCAGCACTGCGACACAGTGCACTAAACTGTTCTCTGCAGTGCTAATATCTCCATATGGACGCCAGCTCAAACCCTTCCAGCCTCACTTCCAATCCAGCACCCTGCTAATGAGCCTAAGGAAGCAACAGAAGACAAGCCCAAGTGTTTGGGCCCCTATTCCTGCATTAAAGTCCTGGAAGGAGCTTCTAGCTCCATGGACATTGTGGGCATCTAGGAAATAAAGTAGCAGATGAAATACCTCTATGTCTCTCCTTCTCTCTCTGCAGCTTTTGCATATTAAAAAACAACTTTAATACACAGTCATATGTCCATCATTGCAGGCATGGACAATAGCAGAGAGTCCAGCATCCTACTGTCAAGATATAGTGAACATTTCCATATTTGCCTGGAAGTAGAAATGCACAGTACACTGTATCCTCACATCTGGATATTAGTCTCCATTTCACAGCTACTGTACATCTCCTCAAATGAAAAGTCATAATACAAAATCAACAACAGAAAGAAAAATAGAAATTTACAATGCCATGAATTATATTTTAGTAATGATATAGAGGAACTAGGTGGGGGAGGTAATGGGGGAGGGGATAAGGGAAATGCCAGAAGCCTATGGAACTGTATCATAAAATGATAATAATAATAATAAAATGTAAAAAAAATTTAAAGAACAAATACAAATTAATAAATATATTTTAAAAAATGAAAAAAAACTTAAAAAAAGGGAGGAGGCTGGGGGAAGGAGTGGGGATGAAGAATAGGACAGAGGGAAGGAAAGCAGAAAGAAAACATGACAGGGCTGGGCACTGATCTAGAGCTTAAAGACAGCAGTGAGGTGGCCAGGGCTGCACATAGCAGAGCCGGGATTCAGTGCCCACCCCCAGCCATTTCAGCATCACACAGATGAAGAGCCTGGGAGGTGGAAGTCAAGGCTCCAGCGATCGGGTTCCGTTGACCCCGTGTCGGACCTGGACTGAGTTCCAAGCTCCAGGGAGGAAACACAGCAGGCATTTGGCATGGGTCAGGGGCAAGCCAGCAGTTGGGGATTCTCTGTGTGTACACACACACACAGACCCACACACCCCCACACGTATGAATGCCTCCTTCTCCCTTTCTCTCCGCTTCTCAAATACATAGACACACACATTTTCGACAAAAACATTGACAACAATTAAGAAATTGAATTTGTTTAAAAGCTTCTAATACCTAACCCTTGAGCAAGCTCATTATTAAAACACACACACACACAATCACAGTGATGCCTATCAATGAGATTAAATCAACTGAGGTGACTTTCAGCTTAATCAGAGAAGACTGTTTTGACAGAACCGCTTGACCCAAAGCCCAGAGCCACTTGGGAACACCTGTCACCAGCAGTGCAGAGTTCAGGACCTCTCTGGTGTTCAGCTCCACCTGCCTCACCACGGCTGTTGCTCCATGCTTTCATCTTCGACTGGCTGCGCTGCCTGGCAAATGGTGGGCATGCAACAAGTACCCATGGACCAACTTCCAAGTTTTGGCATTAAACGGCTATTGGGCTTTTGCAATGTGATTGGAGATGACTAACCCTGGAAAGGCTGACTGTGCATGAAGGCCATTCTAACATTATGCCCAGCATCGGGGTCAGCCTCTGTGCTCACAAGGCCAAACTCCTGGATTCCTTACTTGCTATACGGTCCTTCTCCAAAACCCAAGACAGCCTTTCCTCTTACGTAAGTGCCTATGGGAGCAATAAGAGCATCCAGAACTTTCTATTATCCTCACCTATGCAGACCACATCTGCCATATAGCCTGGGTTCTCTGATACAATCCTGATCAGCCAGGGTTCTGCTGTCTTCAGATGCCATTGAAATAGAAACTGCAGCCATGCTCCCCTCGCCCCAGGATTGTGCACAGTACCAGACTGTACGATACCTTCACAGCTGCTCCTCTACCCACATGCCAGGCACCACCTTGCAGATGTGCGAGTCATGGTCTCTGTTACTGGACGTGGGGAACAATGGTCGGCAGAGCCGCCTCCCGTGCACCACCATGGGCTGATGCGCAGCACAGTCCTACGTAGCAGCTTCTCAGGTGGCCTCACCCCACGACTCCTAAACATCACTGGGGCTGCGGGGGGCTTGGAGTTTATGGCAGAAACTCCTGTTTGCATTCATCCTCTGGCTCACTCACTCGGAGTACCCCGTGTGCTACACAGCACTCTTGCTGACTTTATTCAAAACGAAAGCAGGGGAGGGATAAAACCATATATGCCCTTCAAGCACCCAGTAAGGGTGCTTATTCCTAGGAATTCTAGAAAACAGCTTTGGGAAACATTCCCCCCCACCCCCGAAAGGCTGCCATTTTGTGCAAAAGACAGGGGAGAGCTGCGACAGGAACACCGCCCACAGGCAGATCAGCCTTCTGTAAGGGTTGACTGAACCCCAATTAAACGCACCACACAAAAACTAATGAAGGCAAACAGATGGAGAATTGTGGTCAACAGCATTCAAGCCCACCACCGCATCTAACATAGCAGGAATTTCAAGTAGTCTCTTCTATCTGCTTGCCAGAATCACAGTGATAATTCAGGGAAGTGCTGCTATCTGTATTGTGCGCAGATTAAAAACCAGGCTTTAATTTCTCAGCCTTTTCCAAGTGCAAAGGCTTAATTGGCCTTACGGAAAAGAAATCACTCTTATCAGATTCCCTACTTGGGCACAACACAAGGCAACGCTAGGTTAGCGGCCCAAGCTTTCTCTCTTGGCGACCCTGGTTGTGAAAAAGCAAAAAGCAATCTATACAAACTTCTAAACTATTAAGCAGTTCTAATAAATCGGCAAGAATCACCCACAGAGAGCTCATGGTATGTTTTGTAATTCCTTCTGCAATCGCACAGTTGGTAATTGTCTCACAAAAGCATGTAATCAGGGGGACAATAGAAATATGCAGGATCCTGGAGATTAAAGAAAAGGGACAAATGAAGACAACAGGTCTAGTGTTATTGAACTGCCACAGGAAAATAAAACCAAATGTTCTCTGAGTCACTGCTTCAAGGTCACTCTTGGATCAAAAAGCTACATGTAATTAATTGGGGCTTAAATTTTAAGACCCACTTAAGAAATAAGTTAGTTCTTCCAAAAAACACACAAAACCCTCAGACAAAACCGTCATCTTGCTACTCGGCGAAGCCTCTCTTACTCCCTAGAAGAAGCTGAAATGAATTTCTAAATTCCACAGGATTACTTTTCTTTTGCACTCATAAGAAAAAGGCATTAAAGCAAATCTTATGCCACCATGACACATGAAATTTCAAAATAAAAATGTTCTAAAGTAGAACAAGTTCAAATTTGACCTGTGGTCATGAAGTTTATGCAATCTCCTGGGCCCCCGCAGGACAGCAGGAGCCTGTTGAGTGCAGACTCCCTGCACACCTTGTCCAGGGGGTGCTGGTCCCTGGTTCGGTGCTCGGCCAACATCTTGTTCACGTGCTGGATGCCGGTTTCAACACTCTGCACGTGCTGTGACTCAGGGCCTCTCACAGCATCCTCCCTTCCCCATAGGACAGGACGCCCAGCACTAGCTTTTACGCTGGGCTCACCGCTGGCCAGGTGGAACCACTGATAAGGGCTGACAGCTGTGATCTTATTACCCCCATCCTACAAACCAGCAAACTGAGACAGTGAAAGATCAGACAAATCAACAAATTAATGATCTGAATACACGATCAACAACAGGTGTACATTTGAAAGCTCAGGATGCACTTGATAAATATATTCATGTCAAACTTAAAAGTATTTAACTTCAAAGTTATAACAGCTTGGCTCATGTTCAGATCATAAAACTACCTCTAAAACATTCCACAGCCCTCTTTACAATCAAACTTGAAGATCCATGCATAAGAATAAAGCTTTTTTCCTAAAAAATCTTACCAACTGTACCTTACAAGCCCTCATAAGATGCTGAAAAACACAAGTGAACACAGTGACCATGTGACGGTCCCTTTGTTGCAAATGTCCACTCCAAAGCATTACTTAATCTCACCATTTTACATCCCACATTCATTCATCATGCATTTAATTTTTTATTAGAAAGAAGACTTATTTATTTTTGAAAGAGATATAGAGTGACAATGAGAGAGAGATCCTCAAACTTCTGGTTCACTCCCCAAATGGCCACAACAGCCAGCCAGGCCTTGGCCAGGCTAAAGGAAGGAGTCTGGATCTCCAACAAGGGCTTAAGTATTGGGGCCAATCTCCACTTCTTTCCCAGGTTCATTGTCAAAGAGCTGGATAGGAAGTGAGGTGGCCTGGAACTCACACTGGCTCCCATTATGGGATGCCAAGCTGCACATGGCAGCCTGATTTGCTGTACCTCATCTTGTTGTGCCACAACACCAGCCTCATGATCATTCTTCACTTATTCACTCAACATCATTTCTTCTTAGTGTGAACTATTAACAAGACACCACGAACAAACGCCTGCCAAGAACAAAGAGTGTGGCTCGAGCACCTACAGCTGATATCTCTCCCATCTCAAAGCTGCTCAGTCTAAACTCCCACCAGCAGCTCGTATGTCAGTAAGTCCCCAGAATATCAATGCCAATTCAAGAATGTGGGAGAGAAGATAGCCATATTTAATGAATTGCTAATAAAACATCATTTTCATCAGGAAAACTGTAGGTTCCCTAGCTCTGGCAGCTCAAGCGTTCTGGAAAACACTTTATTGAAAGATACTATGCAGGCTGACAAGCTGATGGTGTAATCTCCTTTGAAGGGAAAATCACTTTACCCCAACTGCCCTCTTGCCGACCAAGGTACAGTGACTGTCTCAGAGAGAGATCAAAACACAATTTAAATCAGTGACAGGACAGGCTTGTAGCCAGGAGCCTCAAGTGGGGCTGCCCTGCCAATCACCAGAGGCAGGACCACTGCGGAAGCCACAGCGCCCCCTGCCAAGAGGAATTTGTCTTTAGCCCCACTGGTGCTGGGAGAGCGGACTCCTGGGGCCTACAGCAGGCAAATTCAGAGTGGGTCTCGGCTTCCACCACTAACAGGGCTGCAAGGCTCCTGCTGCCAGAGACTCAGTTCATTACCCATGAAAGCCGGGGGAGGCTGCAGAGTCCAGTACACCTTCAAAGAGTTTGCAGTCAGCTGGGGACAAAGATGTACGCACGATTCAAAAGCCAGAGCAAGACTAGGAAGTAGACACTCAACCCTCCAAGGAACAGAACTCAGAGTAGAAATCCACTGTAGCATATGGGGACGAGACACTGGCTTGGATAATTGTTACTAGTATCAACTAAGAGGACCAAGAAGAGGAGCAAGAGACAGGGGCACATTAGCAATCCCTCAGAAACCTGCATGGAGGTTACACAGCTAAGACAGCCTCCATGGTGACTACAGAAGGAGTGGGAGAGATTCTGGAATGAGGAAAGGCAGGGAGACTGCGCAGTGGGGGGAAATGGCCGGATAGAGACAATGAGACAGGAGGCCAAGTGTCTACCAGCAGAATGCAGGATGTGAATTCCACTGAACAGCCAGGGGCACAGAGATATCTTAAGACACGCAGCACAATCAAGCTTATGGTCTGAGAATCTAACACACGCAAGGGTCCAGAAAGAAGGTCAGCCCATCTGGGCTTGAGTCGGCAAATGCATGGGCCCTGTCACTGGAAGTGCTGAGCAAACCTTTGGGTTCTACAGTTTGCAAGCATAAAGGATGGAGATCAGGCCTGGCCATGTCAGGCCTTGGCTCTGCTGTGGCTGCAGCAGCTGCTTTCATCAACCAGCTCCATGCCAGGCCACCCAGCACCTCTGCTCAATGCCAAGGCCCCTCTCCCTCCATTTGCATCTCCCCAGTGAAATAAAACCCTCACCTCCTCAAACAGTCGGTGACACACCTGCAGCTTTCCCTCAATGGTCACCTTGGTCTAAGCCACCGTCATCACTCCTGGGAACAACTGCATTGACCCCTCAACCATTCCCATCCCTCCTAAGCACTCCCAAGTTTGACTCCTACTTCAAAGCTGCACTGCTCTTGGAAGAAACCCCAAACTCTGGACCACAGCCTGGGCTTGGATCCTATCACCCCATCAGATCTCTTCCACGTTCCCATGTTCAGCAGTGTCAGCTTACCTTCAGCTTCCTAATATGCCAAGCTCCTTCCTCACAATAACTGCAACTAACTAGCCTGTTGGTCAGTGACACCCAGATCACCTCTGTCACCTCCTAGAACCCAACGGCTCCTACACAGTCCTGATTGAAAGCTGTGCTTTAAAATTACATATTCAGGTCTGACGCGATAGCCTAACAGCTACAGTCCTTGCCTTGCATGCGCTCGGATCCCATATGGGCTCTGGTTCTAGTCCCAGTGCACTACTTCCCACCCAGCTCCCTGCCTGTGTCCTGGGAAAGCAGTCGAGGACGGCCCAAAGCCTTGGGACCTTGCAAGTGATGGGAGACCTGGAGGAGGCTCCTAGCTCCTGACTTTGGATTGGCTTAGCTCCAGCTGCTATGGCTGCTTAGGGAGTAAGTCAATGGACATATCTTCCTCTCTCTCTCTCTCTCTCTTCTTCTATGTATATCTGACTCTCCAATAAAAATAAAATAGGTCTTTGGAAAAAAAATTATATATCCACTTGGATGGCCATTTGCTTCATGCCTGGTCATGCCAGACAACAACTTTATTTTTACCTTGAATCTCCAGCACACAATATCTCTGTGGACTCTCAGCTCACTGGTTATCAACAGGAGCAAGAATCCACACCCCCTCCCCCAAGCCAGACCCTCATTTGCAATTCCTCCCTCTCTCTGTGCACCACAGTGGCTTGTTCCTTAAGGACAGCGTATGTCCCAGCACATGCCTGGGACAAGCACCTTCGTATCTCCCCTGGACATGCAGCAAGGCGCTCCCAGTTATCTGACTCGCGCCTACAGACTTCTGCACCCTTCTTTTGCAACAGCCGGTATGTAGTCAACAGGCCCACCACCATGTGAACTTAAAAACTGAACCTGTAAATCGGATGGCTGTGAGGCTTACCTGCTTCCGGCTGAGTTGCCTTCTCTTTCTTGGCTCCGCTGCCACTAGGATGGGATCGTTTCCGGATCATGGACATGAGGGATCTTCGGGAGAAAGAAAGGTAACAACAGGACACTACTGGATATCTCACTGCTCAAGAAAGTGGATCACTAAAGGATCTGTAAAAACACGATACATCTGTAGACACATTAATGCATAACCAGAATTCAATCAGTCTACTTCCTACTGTTAATAACAGTAACATTTTCTTCATTTACCAAAGATAAACATATATCATCCCTTCGGAATAAAACCAAATTAATGAATGAAAGGGACGAGTGCCATAACTACACATTTGCAAAGGAAAAGAGAAACACAAAAGTCTTCATTCTGCCTATAGAACATTGAGAAGCGGCTGGTCATGTCAGGGGCTTCTGGGAGTCAGAAGGACATGGGGATTGCTTCACATAAAGAGGATGATGTGTGCCAACAGTGACTCGTGAACTGAAGGCGTAAGAACACTGGGACCTGCATAAGGCAGGCAAAATGCTTTGGAATGAAGACCTATTTAGCTTACCATCTCTCTGGTCTGTGTTTTAAACATACTTATAAAAAAAAACACATTGGACCAAGTTATAATATTTAAACCTCAATACAGGAAAGACTACACAGAATTATTATTATTTTTTTAATTGGGAAGGCAGATACACAGAGAAAAGGAGAGACAGAGAGAAAAATCTTCTGTCGACTGGTTCACTCTCCAAGCAGCTGTAGCTGCCAGAGCTGAGCTGAGCCGATCCGAAGGCAGGAGCCCCTTCCTGGTCTCCCATGTGAATGCAGGTTCTCAAGGATTTGGGCCATCCTCCACTGCTTTCCCAGGCCACAAGCAAGGAGCTGGATGAGAAGCAGGGCAGCCGGGATTAGAACCAGTACCTACATGAGATCCCAGTGAATGCAAGGTGAGGATTTAGCCAGCAGGATATTGCACCAAGCTCAACTTAACATTTTTTTTTTAAATAAAACCCTTGAAACCTCATAAAGAATGCCCATATTTCCCATACACACAGGGGAAAAGGTACTTGACTTCATCAGTAATTAGAAAAATGCAAACTAAACCCATGCAAAGATATCGATGCCCATTCAACAAGACCAACAAATTCAAGTTGGATGATATAAAGTGCTGGCAGCTCTGGGGATCCACAGGATTTCTCTCTGAAGAGGGTGCCACTGCAGACAGCCATTTGGCTTTGTCTAGCAGAGGTGAAGAAACCACAAGCCAGTGGTCCCACTGTGCACCAGGCAGAGGAAACCCAGTGCAGTGTGGTAGTGCACAGACAGGAGGCTCATGGAGAAGAGCCACAGTCACCCAGAGCCAGCAGGAGCTTGGGTAACCGGGTTACCCAGATCCAGCAGGAACAAAAAGTGGATGAAGCAGCAACGAATGAGGGTGGACTGCAGCTACACAAGCTAGCACAGCTGAACTGTAGAAAATAAGCGTGCAAAGAGCAGGACGCAACAAACACAGGAGAGTTTCCATCATGTAAAGTTCATAAGCAGGACAGTTAAGGCAGGGACGCTACTGTGCAGGCACTGCTCTGTCTCCGGATTGGCATTAACCTTGCTTACACTTCTACATATTTATTATTTCCCAGATAAAAACACTGTCACCCTCAAAATGAATCAAGAATTTCCCAGCTGCGTGTTAAATGGCTTTAGTGTCATGAAAGTCTAGGTGAAAATAAATCCAAGGAAGACAAGTCGGGAAGTCAGTGCAGGAATGGCATGCTCTGGTCCCTGGGAAGCTCTGTGATGACGCCATTTCCAGTTCTCGGAGGACACCATGTCAATCACATCACTGGACATGAAGATGATGAGGCAGGAAATGATGTGTACCACTCAAGGTATTTACGTCTGCCTGTGTGATGTCGAAAGCACCTTAGCAGCTCAGACAAGCAAGAAAGAAAATAGTCCCCCGGCCAAAGCATCTGGGAGCAGGAATTCACACTCCTTGGTGTCCCAGCCCCACTTCTCCGGCTTCATTAGGATGAGTAACAGCTCCACTCAAGTCACCCCAAGGTGGAGGCACTCCAGGGAGCGTTTCCACCTGTAGCTGCTGCAAGCAGTGTCCTTCAGGCCTACAGGTGGTGGTTTCCCAGCCCTAGGAGTGGAAGCCCATACAGCGCAGGTTCTCCTGGCCTCACACCTGTGGACTTGGAATGCTGGGACACCTTACAGGTCTCTGGTCTCAGGAGCCAGCTCCTTGCAGTAACTCCATACTCAGTTTTATCTAGATCTGTGTTTCTGTTTCTACAATCTGCTAGTTCCACTCCCCTAGGGGGTCCCTAAGTAACACACCCACCCCTCTCCCCAGGACTTACTCTATCTCTTTATCAACGATACAAAGTGACCAAGGCATGCCTTTTCCTCCATTCCCTCTCTCTGACTGGTTCTCTAGGGCAAATGAGTGGGCTGGAGGAGTGCAGGGCAATAAAACCGCTCAAAGAGGCTATGGGCCCTCATTCCATGAACCCACCCCCCTACTCATTGCAAGGATAAAACAAAGAGCTTAAGAACAAACTTCAATCAGTGCATTCCAAGCCCACTGAAAGTCAGTACAGATGCAAATAACATTTCTTTAACAAAAAAGTACTCCTCACCAGAAAGAGAAATTTTTTTTCCTGATAAATTATGTCCTATACCGCGCAAGTTCTGCTTACAATAAAAATCATTCATATTTTTCAATAGAATTTTTCTTCAAAGAGCCTTATAAGAAAAAGTCCATGCTTGAGACATGGCATACACAGTCCTGAATTCTGCATTCATTTCCCAGTGTGACTATTAAGAACTCTTGGCAAAAAAAAAAAAAAAAACATCTGCTTAGGTTATACTTTTAATTCTAGGAGCTTTCAACATTTCTGAGAATAAAAATTAAAGGCCAACAGCAAGATCATAATTATTCTTTAAGAGTTCACTCTCCTCACCGACAAGTGACCTTTCTCATCAGCTCAAAATTCTAGACTTTAGAGAAAGATCAAAGTGACGAATTTCCAATGTTAAATGTCAAACTCCGAATATCCCCTACAGACTTAGCTACCCAGGAGAGAAGGAATTTTAAATACCTGGAATTCTTTCAATTGACTCTTGGTCACGTGTAAAAATTATTTTGCCTTAACGACCTCAATGGCTTAAAGTAGATTATGTCATACCTTCCTCCGTAAGGAAAACTAATGAGAATCTTTTTTGAAAGGCCAAAGCCCCACTCTGAGCGTCCTGTGGGAGGAACGCACTGCACATTCCATTCAGATGGATCAGCAAAGGTGCAAAATGAGAATAAATGGCTTCTCTGTGTGAAAGGATTAAACAAATCACATGAGTTAATGAAAGGTTAAAAAAAAAAATCTTGCAAAAGTTTAAATGCTGTTTGTTAAAGATTAAATTATTTCCTTAAAAGCAGCTAACATCCTGGCCAGAGAGGCCACGCTGCCAGTCAGGTTGTCTTACAGGATGCTGACAGCACACACAGACGCACTGGGGCAGGAACATCTGACTCCCCCGTGCTGCCGTGAGGCACCTGGCGCGGCAAGGTGTCCGAGAAAGTCCTGCTCCCCCACATGATGCCCTGGTTTGCAAGATCTTAAATAAAACTTATTTTTCTTATGGGAGATCCCTGCCTTAGCACTTTTAAAGGTTTAAATATAAGGTTGGAGACACAAATAATTAGTACTTTTAGTTTAATGGCTAATTGAAAACAATGAGTGTGTTTAAGTTTTAATTTAGTACTTTCACTTTTAAAATAACTGAACACACCAGAGCTTTCCAAACTCAGATGTGTAGACATAAAGATGAAAACATTCCAGAGAAGCTCAAAATTCCTTGGACTTCAGTTAGAGGAAACTGTGGTGTTAGCAGCTCAAACTTAAAAAGTGCAGTGTCTAAGATGACAAAATTGTGCCTGGCTCCTGGGATATGAGAGAAGCAAGCATGCAAAACACATGCACAGACTGCAAGAGTTCGTTGTCAGGGGCTTAAGGCCCACACTGCATACACTGCTACTTTAAAAAAAATTAAAATCAATTGAAAGAATTAAAAGATAAGTTTTGGGGCAGGCATTTGGCATTGCATTTAAGTTATGCTTAGAAAGCCTACAAAGCCTGGGTTAAACACTGGCTCCACTTCCAATTCCAGCTTCCCACCAATGAGCATCCTGGAAGCAGCGGGTGATGGCTGGTGCTGGTTAACTCATCGTCAGCCATGTAGAAGACACAGTTCAGAATGCTATGAACACGGGAGCTCGCTCTCAACCTCTGCTTCTCCCTGCTTGCTTTGCAAATAAGTAAGAAAATTCCAAAGACCACTAAAAATGATACCTTGGTTTTGGTACAAATATACTGAAGGGCATACAATAGATTTTTTTTTCCAATATGCACTTTCCATGCTTTTAAACACCTTCTCCAGCTTATTATTTCAGAAACAGAGATAGACAGAATTCCCATTTGCTGCTTCCTTCCCCGAATGCCCACAATGGTCATCCAGAGCTTGAGCCACAAGCTGGGAACACAATCAAGGTCTCCCATACTGAGTGGCAGAAATCGAATCATTGAGCTGCAGCTGCGGCTGCGTCCTAGGGCCTGTCCTGGCAAGGGAGCTGGAGTCAGGAGCCAGAGAAGCCAGCATGGGACACAGGCCGCTAACCGCTGAGCTGCTCACTCCGTGAACTTGCTGAAAACCCTTCGTCATCACAGGAGGGAGTGTGCACAGACCCTTACAAAGTTTTCCAAGGGAAACACCAGCTGGAATCCTGAATACTTTCTGCTGCTCTTCTGATCTAAGCGGACTTTTTGTTTGTTTGTTTGTTTAATAATGATACCAATAGCATACTCTTCAGGTCCTGTGCCAAGAAACAAGGTATGAGGGTCCAGCACAATGGACTAGTGACTAAATCCTTGCTTTGCATCTGCCAGGATCCCATATGGGTGCCAGTCCATGTCCCAACTGCTCCACTTCCCAGCCAGCTTCCTGCTTGTGGTCTGTAAGGGAGTAAAGGATGGACCAAAGTCTTGGGAACCTGTACTCGCATGGGAGACCCAGCAGAGGCTCCTGGCTCCTGGCTTGGGATTGGCTCAGCTCTGGCAGTTGCGGCCACTTGGAGAGTGAACCAGTGGACAGAAATCTTTGTCACTGTAAATCTTTCTAATAAAAATAAACAAATCTTTAATAAAAAAAAAAAAAAAGAAAGGAAGAAAGGAGGCAAGGTCTGGGCCGAGTGGCCTTCCTGGACAGGCTTACCTGATGGGGTTGGGAGGAGGCGGCGGCAGCGGCGGTGGAGGCGGAGGGGGCGGAGGGACCGAGTTCTCAGACTGGTTCACACGCTTCTGGAGTTCATCCACTGCGGGGAGAGCGAGCGTTGAGGACACCGCTGGAGACAGCAGCTAAGCCCTCTCTGACGCAAGTAACAGGAAACACAAAACCTCTCTCAAAAATCAACATCTCACTGTTAAGGCCCAGTTAGCAATCAAAGTACTGCGGGTCCCTATTAGCTGGGCAAGTTGCTAATGCACGAGGGTTCAAATACAAGTCACCGTCATTTTGCTGTATACCTAACAACGAGAGAACAATTCAAGATAACAGTTGAAGGGTAGGGAAAAGAGGCCTGAGTAGGCGGAAGAAATAATTGTTAACAAGGGGATATGTTCTTCGAACAGAAAGACGCTTACTGGTTGGCTTTAAAAGTATATCAACCAATAATTAAAGATGCCACTGAGTTATGAATTTTGGTAGCTATACATGCCTCTGTCAGTTTTCTCCCCAAAACGGAAATTGTCCTGATTTTGAACCAGTCTCAGACTCCTGACATCTGCCACTCAAACTTCACGAAGGGCATTCTGGAATATCCTTTGTTCACTCAATTCCATCACATCACTCGCGCATGGAATCCCCTGAGCACCAGCAGCAGGAAAGGGCCCATGCCTGGTGCTGCAGGAGACCTGGGCCTGACTTCCGGGGACTTGGAGAGAACTGCTACCCCAAGCACGGACAGGGCCAGCAGTGGCTAAGAACACTCGCTGCCAACACACTCAGCCAGCTCCCCTCCGGCAGCTGCTCCCCGCCCAAGGCCGACCGCACTCGGAGAATCTGTCCATTGACCTTCCCCCCTCCCCACTCACACAGGCTGTGAGAACCTTGCAGCGTCTCCCGTGCGGAGGGCTATCCCTGCCAGGGGAACTGGAGTTCTTCAAACACGGGAGGCACAGCTCCAGTCTCTGTCCTTTTAGATTTCTCACCGTGCCAGGCTACTCACTGGAAGGAATGGCATCTTCCATAACTTTGGGTTAATGTTAAACTATATTGTTTCACTGTGGGTTTTGAAGCACTGGACTTTTTTTTTTTTTTGTAAGGAAAAATGTCTATATGGTTCTGTACATATTCCAAAATTCTACTGTAAAATTAACTAGAAAGACTTTAAGTGAACACTAGGCTGTTACAAAGGGGGCACACCTGTCCCCTTCCATTACCTCCCTTCCAGCAGGGCCTTGTGCTCTGTGTCCTGCCAAGCCTTCTACAGCGACGTGAACAAACCTTTAAGTATCCCCAGGCACTTTAGAAGGTTTTCCATTTAATATACATATTGCTGCCCGATTCATGGTTAGATGTGATACAGAAAGTATTATTTCATGCGTATAATTAGATACCAAAGAAGAAGGTGGGATAAGAAAGTTCAAATTCTTAAAAAAAAAAAAAAAAGTACCCTAAAGCCAACAAAATCCAGTGAGCAGTCAGTGGCGGCTGGCTCGCGTCCACCCGCCCACGGGCCCGGAGGGACGTGGAAGCTACCGGTGTCGCCAGGCCAAGGGTATGTCTGCGCCTTGCTCCTGCACGTGCAACTCAAGGGAGCCCTGAAGTCAAGAGAGCAGCCCACGGCCCCACGGCCCCACGGCCCCACGGCCCCATGGCCCCACGGCCCCACAGCCCCACGGCTGCAGGGCCGCCCCGCGGAGTGGCAGCAGCGAGGAGTGAAGAGTGTGGGACTCAGGGCCGCAGATTCAGCCCCGGCTAGCTTCCTACCACGCCAGACCAGGCCTAAGAACTGCCCGCAGCAGCCGACTCCAGGCCGTTACCGGAATGCTTCAAGTTCCTGGCTTTCTCCTCAGAGCTCTGGTACTTCAGTTCTAGATCCTTCTTGTCTTCTTCCATAAGCTCCAACTGCTGCTTGAGGCTGTGGATCTCCTTGTGCAGCGTCTCACTTTCCAGTCGCTCCTCTAACTCTCTGACCTGTAAGGAATGAAGCAAACTGCCTAGGGTGACAGCTAACAGCCTTTGTCCATGGAGTAGTGTACACTGCAAACAGTATACATGTTGATGAAACTTAAACATTTTGTTATGCTTCATTTATTTGGTACAGGAGGGAGGAGAGGCAGAGGGAGCGACAGCCAGCAAGAGGGCAAGTGTGTTCCCACCTCCTAGTTCACTCCGCCGATGCCTGCCACGGCCAGAATACGGTCAGGAATGCCACCCAGATCCCCACACAAGCGGCAGCAGCCCATCACCGCTGCCTCCCACGGTCTGCACTGCGGGAAGCTGGAGTCAGGCATGGAAAGTGGGACTCCAACCTGGGCTGCAATGTGGGCTGCAATGTGGAGGCCGTAACTGCTGCCACTGCTGATGCAAGGTTTCCTAAGTGGCTTCTTTAATTTCAAAGTCTTTATCCCACCTCCTTCCCCTCCTCCTCCCCTAGCACAATGGCAGCCCTTGCTGCACAGCACACAGAAGTAGCAATGTCCACTAAAATAGCTCCACTCACACAAACTGAAATAACCCACTCAGGAAGTCTTTAAACACAGACATTTGTACAAGTTTACAAAATCAGAAGTGTTCTCTAAACAAACAGCCACTAGTAATGTGGGCTTTTCTTATCCTCCCTCTCTGAATAAATCCTACACCTTCCATCAGGCTCGGCGAGGATCCTGATCCGTGCAGTCCCCGAAACACACAACTTCTCCCAAAGCCAGATCCCCACACTGGGCATCATCCAACCTCTCCTGTGTACCATACATAGATCTACAACCATGTGCTCCAAGTTTTAGTTGGACAATAAATTGACTTCATATGGTAGTTATTTTTTTCCTAAGAAGTGATGGAAAGGATCTGGTGCCTAAGGCAAATCAGGCAGCTAAAAATGGCTGGACTGGTTCCTCTCCTCCTTTTAAATGAGAGAAGGAGAGGGACAGAAAGAGAGAGCGAGAGAGAGAATATACTCCTGCAAGTCCAGAAGACAATCTGTTACCTTCTGCTGATGCTGAATTCTCTCTTCTTCAAGAAGCTGGGTGAGTTTTGCATTTTCATCTAAAGCTTTCAAGAGCTGCTGGTCAGGAACGGAGCTCTGTAACAGGAGGTGGCTTTGTCTCTTGAGCTTGTTTTGTTCAATGAACATCTGCAAGAGGTCATTACAAAAGCGTCTACGTCAATCAGTGCCACCTCTCTCATCAACCTGCAACTTACACAGAAGGAAAGAAGCTGTAGTTTTTACTAAAAAGTTAGAAGCAATTCCTGAACTATCTGACAGCTAAAGAGGTAGTAACTGCTGGGGCTGGTCTTGGCACAGGTTAAGGTGCTACTTAAGAGTCTTCCCGTCCCCACTTCTCGCTCCCACCCCCAACACCTATCCAGCATACGCTTCCCATGAACCCTACCAGCCAAGAGCAAGCTGACCAGGGCACTGAGTTTAGGGACAAGATCAGGTCTGATGTTGTGGTGTAGTGCGTTAAGCACCGCCTGAAAACTGGCATTCCAAATGGGCACTGGTTCGTGTTCTGGCTGTTTCACTTGTCCAGCTCCCTGCTAAATGCCTGGGAGAATGGTAAAAGGTGTTTCCAAGTGGTTGGGCTCCTGTCACCCATGTGGGAGACTCAACCTTCTGGATTCTGACAATTTAGGGAATGAACCAGCAGATGAAAGATTGGCAATCTGACTTTCCTTTTCAAATAAATAATAAATAAATCTCTGTGGGTTTTTTGCTTGTTTCAGAAAATAAATACATCAAGCCAGTAGCACGTCCAGCAGGGGGTTGGGTTGGAGGAACTTCTACTACTCATAGTGTAAACTGCTTTTCTGGGCTTTGGTCTCTCCTGGAAAAAAAAAAAAAGGACCTTGGAAACTTGTCTAACTGTAAGAGATTATAAACAATTTCAGCTTCACTGCTTCAGAGAAGGAATGAAGAGGTGTGGCTTTAAAACTTGGCGATGTTAGCAATGAGATTCTGTTTGTTTAGCCCCATCTCCACCTGTTACTGAGGTTCAAGGCCTTAGCTGGCAGATGGCTGAGTGAATCATTCATTTTCATGATCTTACTATAATCTCGTGTCTTCCTTCCATCCTCTCGACTACTGCCTGGCCTTCAAGTTTTAATTTGTGCTGCTCTGTGCAAACAGGTGGAAAACTCCCATGCTTTGGGAGAAGATGCTGCCCCAGGGCCGCGGTCACCCCCCATGTTGGTTCTGCAGCGGAGGCTGGTGTCCCTGCCCTCTGCCCCGACTCGCCCCACGCTGTATTTAGCTGTGTTACTTATGCTCCCGCAGCTTTTCAGGAGAGCTCGGATACACTTCAACTATTTTTTCTTCCTTCTCCCAAGTAACAAGCCGATGATATCTACTCACCTTTCATTAAATTCTGAATAAAAGAAGTCATTACATGTCAAATCAGATGTGCTTGGACTAAACCTTTTGTGGAGTTCATTGCTAGCACAGCTACGCTAGCACACAAGGAGCCCTGTACACAACCATACTTAGATGTTCAAATGTCACTTCCACAGGGCCATGTTTGTCTTCCCCCCACCCCCTGCGCCCCTACTAGGACTGCTCTGACTTTCCCTTAACTGTTTCCCTCCGATCCTCTGTATGCACACAGACTCAAAATACTGACAGCCGAGGAAACGCTCGTTGCAGGCCAGCTCCACACCATGAGTTTAGCCAAGGGGTGACTTGTCTGTCCCTTGGAAATGGCCCCAGAGCCATGGGATACCCAACCACGGGAGTCAGCGAAGCAAACTGGAAGGAGAGAGGCCTAACGCTTGCCTCTAATGGGAGAGGGTCATCAGGACACTGGCACAGGCTGGCATTCGGGACACACGACACGGAAGTTTTCCACAGTTCACACAACGAGCTCTGTGCATGCTGGCCGGAGAGGAAGGACAGCACAGGACCGTGCTCTCCGAGGCAGCACCCGGAGATGCAGCCTGGCCTGGGGCCCGTGTGAAACGCACCAGTGTTCGCGCCATCATAAGCCGAAGGAGCTCCGCACACCGTCTCCCTCCCCAACCTGGCATTTGGTAGTTTGCCAAATACAGCTTCTTTTTAAATTATGCCCTTGATTTGCGCTGTCACTCCTTTTGCGCGTGTGAAAGGGAAGCTGTGGGAGACAAGGGGATGCTCTGCGGCCAGGGATCTAGTAACTGGTGCGGTCCAAATGAAAGCTCTGATCTTGTGACACGAAGTGCGGTAAACCTGTTGCTATTCCTCAGCTGCCCTCCAAACTAGCTGATTCTTAATTCATACAGGTAAGTCTGCATTCAGCCTCAAAAAAAAGAAAAAGTTAATATGCCATCCACAGACATATTAAAGCAAAGCAAGGTCTCTACAGGCCACCTACCTCCTGGGCAAACGACTCCGCTTTCTTCCGGAGATCTTTCTCCAGCTCCAGGCTGACCTGCATCTCCTCATACTCTTCGACGGCTAACATGGACACTGGGGGTGACGAGGAAAACACAGATAACGTGGGAGTCAGGAAGAGGGATGGAAAACGGCGTGGAGTGTCTTCAGACAGGGTCCAGGCAGCCTCACCTGCTTCCAGCTAACATTTGACTGAGAAAAGTTTTTGACAGAGCAGCTTGATAACAGGAATCACAAACTCAAAAGCAGGAAGGCCTTTTGACTCAGCAAGTGTACTTCTAGCAATGCAGATACCAACAGAGTAAGTCATGGGCTTCCACAGAGACCCGGGCACAGGGTGCCTGGGCACGACCACTGAACAACCAGCAGACTCCAGTCTAACACTGAAGGGACATACATCGAGGTTCCCGAAATATTATTCTGCCACCAAAATTACACAGGAGGAGCAGTTACTGAATGAAAAGACAGTCATTACGCTTTTATTAAAAAAAAAAAGTGAGTTACACAAACGAATACAACAGGAACTTACTTTGTTGTTGTTGTTGTTCAGAAAAACTCACAGACAGAACATATCAACAAGCATTTCACAGGACAAGAACCATACAGGCCAAGAGACACGGGGAAGATGTTCACTCTTACCAGGGGGGCAGGGAAATGCAAAGAAAAACCTCCCTCTACACCCACCAGAGGGGAGAGCCACGAACATTCCGAAGGAAGGCTACCCCCAGCTCCCTGCCTGTGGCCTGGGAAAGCAGGACAGCCAAAACCCCTGAGACCGGAAGAGGCTCCTTGCTTCTGGCTTCAGACTGGCGTTGCTCCAGCCATTGAGACCACTGGGGAGTGAAGCAACAGATGGAAGATCCTCCTCTCTGTTTATCTGACTTCACAGTAAAAAATAAGTTTTTTAAAAAAGATGGCTACAGGAAGCTTCATGAGGACCCAGGATGAGGAGAACAAGAACCTGATACATCTACTTAGAGTTGGCCTTTTGTAGTGACATCAAAGATAAACTCTTACATTTAGAATTGATCTTGGTTAAACTCATGGACAGGCATAATAGGGAAAATGTATCATAGTTTTCATAACCACATAAATAAGAAGCACAGAAACCTACACAATTCAAACGTCCACTAAGAAAATGCTGGAAAACAAATTCTGGTGCCGTCTAACCCATACTGGGGAAGGCTCCCCTGGGGGCCACTGCACTCACACCTGCACTGCTATACTGAGCCCTTTGGGTCTAACTAACTAAGGACTGGTTGCCTGGGTAATGACACAGAATTTTAGACTCTGCATCCTACAACTTCCTGTTTCCTCAGACGGAAGACTAACAGACTCAAGCCAGGTAACCCAAGTGCTGGCTTGGGGAATGAATTATAGGTCCCTGAGTGCTAACTGATTCTCCAGCTCTAATAGAGGAGAAAGTTCACGAAGCAGACAAGGACAACTCACTCCCTGAAGTTCCAGGCAAGATAACAATCTCTTCTACGTTCCCAACATTGTGATAAAGCACCCGCTTTCCACGTCTTGGTCGCATGGCTTGGATACTGAAAGAAATGGGGGTGATGCCAGCCACGGGTTTCTTCACATAAGCCCTGCCCTCCTGGGCCAGGGACTCTCGGAATGCAAGGTCCACAGGCTCAACCTTTCTAGAATCCTTCCAGCACAGGGTGGCAAGACGGACACTCCTCCATGTTGTTTGTGTAAATCCAGAAGGACATGAAGGAAGGTTGTAAGCCAACACCATGCTCCCCTCCAAACTACAAGGGCTTTTCATTTTCAAAAACCTCACACAGATTGAGAACTGCCACTCAAAAAATGTGGGCCATTCCAGGTCTGAAAGACTTCCCGTGGGTATGACCACAGCCTCTGAATTCAGAGGGGCAGAGGGGAGGCGGGGAACAAAAAGCAAGTCTCCACAAAACTGTTATGCAGAACCACCCTTGGCGTCACTTCCTAGTCCTCAACTGGGGAACACCAGTAGTGTATGTTGGGACTTGAAGCTGTAGCTGACCGGGGACAACATGGCCACTGTTCACCAAGTACCAATGGGAGACCTCAAGCCACAACAGGAGCAGACTTGAGGCTGGAGGCTTCAAAGCTGGGAGTTTCCCAGTTCCTCAGGAGAAACCACTTTTCAATGTCCCCACACTTGGAGGGGGATGATCGCTGCTGGGGAAACACAGGTTGGGAGAAGGCCGTGGCTGTGGGAAGCTTCAGGCACAAGTGTAAAGAGACAGAAGCCACACATTGGCACAGCACATCCCATGTGTACTGGAGAGAGAAGACCAGAAGGACATACCTCTGTTGCATTTCTCTAAGACTTTCCTCTGTTCGAGAACTTCAGAATTTAAAACAGCCTTTTCTTGCTTAACTTTATTTACCTAGAAATGTGAGATTTCGAGGGAAGAAAATACCCAGAATTGTAAAGCAGAACATATGGCAATGTGTGATACTCAAGGCACTGTTCAACTTTCAACATGAACTTACAATTTTGCACCGACACTGGCTTCAGCATGTTATGGGTTTTTATTAAAGCAGATCTTAAAAGCTGCAGTGGTTGCTACTTCAGTTTGATGCACACTTGGTCCTGAATATATTTACATACTCCACCTGGCACTGGTGCTGGTCCCTACACGTGACAGTATTGTGGCCAGCCAATATAAATCCTTCCTATATATATATTTCTAAAAGATGTACTTACTTATTTGAAAGGCAGAGTGACAAACATCTGTTGGTTCAGGCTCCTATCGGCCCTAACAGCCTGGATTAGTCCAGACTAAAGCCAGTCACATTTCTACTGGCTGCTCTGCCAGGTACCATAGCAGAGCTGGGTGGAAAGTAGAGAAGTATGGACTTGAACCTGTACTCAAATATGGGATGCGGGCATTACATACTGTGGCTCAACCAGCTGTACAACAGCACCACCACTATGCTTCGTATTAATGCAAGGCTTCAGCCTGACATTTCCCAGAAGTTCCTGGATCCTTTCTTTGGCCTGGCCCAGCTCTGCTGCTGTGGGCATTTGCAGAGTAAACCAAACGGATGGATAGATGAGAGGAGGGAGGGAGGAATGGAAGGAGGGAGCAAATGAGGGAGGGATAGAAAGAGGGAAGGAGTGAAGGAAGGAACCGAAGGAGGGAGGGAGGGAGAAGAGAAGGAAGGAAGACAGGGATGAAAGAAGGAAGGGAAGGAGGGAAGAGGAGAGGAAAAAGCAAGGAAGGGAAGGAGGAAAGAAATCTCTCTGTCTTTAAAATAAGCTTTAGGGAAAAAAAAAAAGCTTGTAAGACAGTCCTGCCTTATTTATTTATTGTGTGAAAGGCAGAATTATATAGAGAGAAAGAGATTCAGAGAGGTCTTTTATCCAATGGTTCTCTCTCCAAATGGCTAGAGCCGGGCCAGTCCAATGCTAGGATCTAGAAACACCCAGGTCTCCCACGTGGATGCAGGGACCCAGGCACTTGGGCCATCCACTGCTGCCTTCCCAGGCCATTAGCAGGAAGCTGGATCAGAGGTAGAGCTGCTGGGACTTGAACCAGCGCTAATGGATGCTGGTGCCACAGAGAGGTTTAGCCTGTTACATCATGACACTGGTCCCTATAGTTCTGTTTTTAATCCAGATCCAAAGAAACACAAAATTCCCCAAATATCTGTGAAATTCATTCTACTTCCTGTCATAAACATCGATGCTGGAGGTACAGAGCCCCACCCCACCCCATCTCTGCAGGAGCAAAGCCCTTTCTTCCTCAGCCTCCTGCAGCAGCAAAGCACAGGCCCTGACACCAGAGCTGCCACTCTCACAAATCTGCTTCACAGTGAGAACTTGGAAGATCTGGGAACACATCAGCGCTGCGCCAGCATTTCACTCAGTTAGTGAGGTAGCGGACTCACGAATGTTTGTGACCTTATTTTCTACATCTTTTGGTAAGGCTGAAGCGGAAGGGAAAGATTAAATTAGAATGCGGTTCTCTTGTCCAGGGCTGGAGTTGCAGTGCAGCGAGTTGAGCCACTGTATGTCACACCAGCATCCCATACGGGTGCTGATTCAAGATCTGACTGCTCCGCTTCTGCTCCAGCTCCCTGCTAATGCACCTGGGAAAGTGCCTGGGTTATGACCACTCATGTGGGAGATCCTATGGGGGTTTCAGGCCCCTGGCTCCTGCCTGGCCCGTACCCAGCACCACTGCAGCAGTTTGGGGAGTGACCTAGCAGATGGAAGATCTCTGTCTTCCAAATATAAACAAGCAAACAAATAAAAGAGAGAAAAAAAAAACCAACTTACAAAAGTGAGTTTTTAACTTAGTTCCAAACACCCTGAGGCCACAGAAGAGCCTGTCTTTGAGGCGGGAGATACTTACTTCTTCCGTCACTTCTACAAGCTTGCTTTTGAGATTCTCCAGCTCAATGGCTAATACCTTCTTTTCTTCCTGAACAGATACAATTTGATCTCGAAGTTCTGCATGTTTAAAAAAAAAAAAAAACAGAAATTGTTTATAAAAGAAAAAAAAAATCCATCTGACCAACCAAACTGAAAATGCCATTCCATGTGCAACTATGGTCAAGGTTATTTATCAACCAAGAGGGAAATGAGGGTAAGGGTGTGTGAGTTAAGACACCACTCGGGATCCACACATCCTGACTGCACTGCCTGGCTTCTAGTTCCACCTCCACTTCCAGTCCAGCTTCCTGCTAGCGTGTGGCCCGGCAGGCAGCAGCACAGGCTCAGCCACCTGGGCCCTGCCAACCGTGGGGGAGACCTGGACAGAATTCAGGGCTCATGGTTTTGGTCTGGCCCAGTCACATTCACTCCTGGCATTTGAGGAGTGAACCAGACGGTGGAAGCGCTCTCTCACAAACAAAATGGAAATAACTTTTTGAAAAATCAAAAGAAAAATGAAGACCCAAAGGAAAATGGGAGACTTGACTTTGCTCCTCACTCCCTGCCCCTGCCCTCATAAGCCATGGACTTTGATAATTTTATATCAGGCAATCTCATTATGTCAAATATATCAGATCAAGTTTTTTTTTTTAACAATCTGCCTATTCATAGTCCATTGGCATTTTGGAAGCAAAAAAAAAAAATTTAAACTCTCAGCAAAATTAATTAAGGCATCCTATTAACTTATTTTTACTTCTCAATGGCCATGAGAAGTACATACATATAATATCAACAACTAGTTGATTAATAACTAGGAGATTTTCATTAAAGAAAAAAAAAAAAACCTAAATGCTGCCGATGTATAAGCATTTGAACTGACTCAAAACAGTTTTCTGGGGGCTGGCATTGTGGTGTAGTGGACGAAGCCAATGCCCGAGATGTGAACATCCCATAAGGGCATGGGAATGTGTCCCGGTTGCTCTACTTCTGACCCGGTGGCCTGGGAAAAGCAGCAGAAGACGCCCAAGTGCTTAGGTCCCCGCACCCATGTGAGAAACCCAGATGAAGTTTCTGGCTCCTGGCTTCAGCGGGCTCATCCCTGGCCACTGCAGACACTTGGAAGTGAACCAGAGGATGGAAGATCCATCTCAATTTCTCTTTCTCTCTATAACTCTGAGTTTCAAAATAAATAAGTTAGTTTAAAAAAAAAAAGCATTTGGAAAAAGGATTAACTCTAGCAACCATCTCTCCAAAGCTTCAGGTGTTTCATTTCTAAATTTATTTTACATTTTTTTATTATTGGGATTTGAAGGAAAACATGCTATTAGAATAAAATGAAAATATTGGCAGAATTAAAGATAAAAGGCATTCCTGTTAGATTCCAGTTTCTCCTACCATTCAACTGTTTTAAGACACATAAGAATTAGCACAGACTCCGTAAACTGATGCACAGGCCTTGTGTCCTGCCACTTGGTTACCCACTGCTTTTCACGTCTGACCCTTCTCCAGGTTCACAAGACACCTGCCACGTGGTTGTCTGTAAACTGAGTCTAGCTCTTCACAGGAACTCAGTGCACAGAAATTCTCGGGGACTTGCCTCTCAATGCCTTTCTCCTCTGGCTGGCCAAGCCTCCAGGAAGCAGAGATCAAGCAGAGTACATGACCTGCAGAACGGAGGGCAGCGATCCCCTGTACACATCTGAATGCAACTCAGGTGCATCTGTACTATTGGCTGACCAACACAGCTAATATTACATGCTGCACAGAACTCCGTGCCTGCAGCACAGAGGGCAGAGACTGAGCAGCTGGAGAGAAACTTTCCCCAGAACCAACACAGAACCAAGCACAAAGGGGGCTGTTGGCCACATACACTTCTAGTCATCCCTTCTCTGTTGGACAAAAATAAGCTATAACATAGCCCCTATTCTTAAGGTTATTCTTAAGGCTGGCTGCATCTGGAGACACAACACTTTTCTAAAGTGTCTCATTCCAAACAAGCAAACAACTCCTACAGCACACACTTTATACCCCACTATGCGTCTCAACCAAGCTACAGCCATGGCTAATTCGATCAGCACTTCACAGGGTAGGCTCTTAGCCTCAGTATATTTAAAACGTTCTACGCAATCCTGATCTGTGGCCGCAGTGGAAAAGCAATGTCCAGCTGCAAATCAGAGTCACCTCGGAGAATGAGAGCAGGAGGCCCACCTTTGATTTGCTTCTGACACTGTATCGAGACGCAGGTCTCCGTGGCGGCCTCCGCGTCACTGGAAGGATCTTCATCATCGGTATTGAGCTCCTCGGTTATTACTTCTGGCCCTAGCTTGGCCATGTATAACATGCTGATCCGCTTCAGTGTTTTATTTTCTTTATTTAGCTAAGATGAAATATGAAAACGGTTATTTTAACAGCAGTCAAATGAGTATCTTGGAGCTTTAAACAACAGATCAATTAAGTGCATTTTTTTTTGTCTTACATATGCATCAACACTCACAGCAGGACAGAGTAATTAGCAGATTCATTAAATAAGGTTTTTGTCACGTGTGTTTAATATTGAATTTGCTACTTTAAGTCAGACCTGAGCCTTAGATTTTAAGCAGCAGCAAGTGGAAAAGACAGAACTGACATGAAAAACAAGGAGTTAAGAAAAAATACTATAGATTAATTATAGATTAATTAATGATAGATTATAGTATAGATTAATTTGGATCTCAATGGCTTTAGAGTCATGAATAGCCTTCATCAAGACACTTGATTTCAAGGCTAACGCTGTGTGCTGCTGTGCAAGGAGCCCTTTAGGTCCCGGCTGGCTCCATATCCCTTCTGTCGTGGACACTGCCACTCTTCAGACTGTACTAGGTGACTTCTCTGGGAAGAATCCACCTCTCCAGGGTACAGTCCCACTCCTTGGACCACCATTCATCAGCCCAGTGTTCTCCCAGGGAACACCTGATCATTAGCACGACAGCTGGAGTCACCACAGAATAAAAAGAGCCTTGGGCATCAACTTGGAGTAGAGACAGTTTTGTTTTCCCAAATCTCCTCCCACCAAAAAAAAAAAAAGTCTCTTAGTTGAACACATGAAATTATTTAGATTACTTTCCCCAGTATAAAGTGAAACCTTCCAAAATACAAGCCCATTTCCTTCACCACAAACACTGGCCACCGTGACTAGCTCCACACAATCTCTGGGAATCGGTGACTGTAACTCATGGGAAGGCACCTGCCCTTCTCCACTTACACCTTACACCAGTGTGAGATACTCAGGACAGCTCAGGTCTGGCTCCAGCCCTTCATCCATGATCACAATCAGGGTTCCTCGGGGCTTCTGGAAGCCATGTGGTTTCAAGGACACTGTGTGGTCCACTTCCAGCTGGGAGATCTGGACCCTACCCCAGTTATCACAGCACCCAACTGGGCTCCAGGCAGTGTGGTCTGGAGCTCAGACGCCTTCCCCCACCTCTCAGGAGGACCAGGAAGAACTTCTTAGGAATGGCCATGAACACTACCATGGTTCCTCCCAGAAAGACAGGACAGCACTGTGCAGGCCCCAGTCTACACCTGCAGCTTCTTTCCTCATGTCACATGAGCAGGAGAGCAGATGAAGCCCATCACGTCCAAGTACACTCGTTGTGGGTTCACTGAACCACCAATGCTACCACATGACCCCAGCGGCCCAAGAGCCCTACCTGTCGATTCACACACTGTGTCATCTTTTCTAAACATAAGGGGGAAACTCCCAGTTTTAAAAAAGGGCAATGCAGTAGCCTGGTGGCTAAATCCTTGCCTTGCACCTGCCAGCATCCCATACGGGTCCCAGTTCATATCCCAGCTGCCCCGCTTCCCATCCAGCTCCCCACTTGCAGCCTGGGAAAGTAGTAGAGGATGTCCCAGAGCCTTGGGACCCTGTACCCACGTGGGAGACCCAGAAGAAGCTTCTGGCTTTATATATCGGCTTAGCTGTGGCCATGCAGCCACTTGGGCAGTGAAACACTGGATGGAAGATATTTGTTTCTGTCACTCCTTCTCTCTGAAACTTACCTTTCCGATAAAAATAAATAAATCTTCAAAAAAAAAAAAAAAGCTCTCAATGCGTAAACTGTAATTTTGTCTCTTACTATTTAAGCCCATGGAGTTTGGCACTATGGCACAGCATATTTAGACATCGCCACCCAAGACACCAATATCCTATAAGGAGAACTCAGGTTCAACTGCTCCCTGCTCCACCTCCAATCCAGCTCTCCCTGAACGTAACTGAGAGAGCAGTAGATGGTGACTCAAGTACCTGGGCCCCTGCCACACACACAGGAAATGCAGATGGAGTTCCAGGCTCCAGGCTTCTGCCTGGCCCAGCCTGTTGCCTGGTCCAGTGTGACCATTCCTGTCATCTGGGGAGTGAACTACCAAATATTAGATATCACTCCCTCTTCCTGCCCCCACCCTTCCAAACGAATAAAAATCTTTAGAAGTTAAGCTACCTGTTCCCAACTCTGTGCACCACAATCTCTAAAGACCTTTGTAGAGCTCCCAGGACCGACACTGCAGGCCACAACAGCCCCTCTGACCCTGGGGCTCAGCCCGCTACTGTCTCAGAGCTTCCCAGGTCACTCGGCTGTACATCCACACCAGGGATGACTGCAGGGGAATGGCGCCAGGCAATGTGCCACGACACCAGCCAGTGCTGTGGCCAGCCTTGGCCTCCGCCTCTTGAGTCAATCTGATGGCTCTCATCTACAAGCTAAAGATACAGTCCTGAACCAGAGCGTGGGGGCCACGGGGCATGATGTCTAAAGTGACCAACACAGTAACTGACACCTGGTAAGACTTTGGGAAGCATCAGGCATTCCCAGCAAGAAAAGAACTTAAGCTTGAGTGTCTTTCTGTGCCCTGGAAGCTTTCTTCAACCATGGTATTCTTCTATGTGCTTTCTTCTACATCCAGAAATACTCATGAAATTTGTGACTTCTGGCACTCTATACAAATGCGTTTCAAGAAGTTTGTGGAAAATGGAATTAAAAGTTTATTTCAGTGCAAATCTGAAAATCCAATTATTCCGTGATACACATTTTTATTAACTTTTTTAAAAAAAAGACTTAATTGAAAGTCACAGTAACAGAGAGAAAGAGAGAGAAAAAAGATCTTGCATCCACTGGTTCAGTCCCTAAGTGGCTGTAACACTAGGGCTGGGCTACGCTGAAGCCAAGGGCCCAAAACTCCATCAGGTCTCCCACATGGGCGGCAGGAGTCCCAGGACTTGGGCCATCTTCCCCTGCTTTCCCAGGCTCATTAGCAGGGAGCTAGATTAAAAGTGGATTTGGAGTTCAAATGGGATGCTGGTGTTTCAGGGGGCTACTTCACCTCACAAGTAAGATTTTGAAGACCTCTCACAAGTTGCTTCCCTGACTATCATCATGATATCTGATAACCTAATAACAACTGTGGCCTAAGAAGAGCTTAAAATCTATCAATTAAGGCATCCGAATCCCCTACCTACTGTATTATAAAAACTCAAGAAGAATGTCGACTGAGATGTGACTGCTGCTTTTATATCTCTTTTTAGATTTTTCCCCCTATTTTTTAAAATTTCTAATTTATTTTATGGATTCAAAATGCAGAAAGAGACGGAAACCTCTCCCATCAACTGGTTCACTCCCTAAATTCCAGCAACAGCCAGGGCTGAGTGAGGCTAAAATTAGGAGCTGAAAACTCAATCTGGGTTTCCCACATGAGTAGCAGACACCACCTGCTCCCGTCCACGCTGAGCGTCAGCAGGAAGCTGCATCCGCTGTGAATTACCAAGGACACAAGCCCCCCACACTGACACCGGATACGGGTAACCCAAGGGTGGCTTCATCTCTGTACCAAGTGTCTGCACCTGTTTTCACATTTTAAAAAGAAGACGTAGAAGACTTACAAATGTAAGGTCTTCTGTGTATGCTTCTTGGATATTTTTGAGAATTTAGAACTCACCAACATTGGATAAGCAATGTCACTGAAGTTATTCATCAAGTTACAGGTTTGAGGCATGGTACACATTGTTCTAAGTCACAAGGCAACAATAAATCCTTGCTAACCCTCCAGTACCAGAACCTACTATCATCTTCAAACCTAAATACAGTTTTCACACTGTGCAGAATCTGATGACTATTTAAAAGCACAAAATCAACAAGATAAACAGCTTTGGATCATACAACTTAAAGTATGGATCCACTTTTACCAGTACATTGTACACATTTTAGCAAAGTAACCACACCTATTTGTAACAAAATTATGAAGTCAAATTGCATCATAAGAATTAAATACTCTGGGCCCATCACGGTAGCCTAGTGGCTAAAGTCCTTGCCTTGCATGCGCCAGGATCGCATATGGGTGCCGGTTCGTATCCTGGCTGCCCCACTTCCCTTCCAGCTCCCTCTTGTGGCCTGGAAAGGCAGCAGAGGATGGCCCAAAGCCTTGGCACTATGCACCAAAATGGGAGATCCTAAAGAAGCTCCTGGCTCCTGGCTTCAAATCAGTTCAGCTGGCTCTTGCAGCCACTTGAGGAGTGAACCACCAGACAGAAGACCTTTCTCTGTCTCTCCTTCTCTCTGCAGATCTAACTTTCCAATTAAAAAAAAAAAAGAATTAACTACTCCTTTTACCTTTAATTCGATGGTGAAGATTAAGGAAAGTAATATTCACAGAAACTTTGCTGCTCAGCAAACGGACCTTTCGAAAATGACAACTGGCACTGAAATCAGAACGTGCTATTATCTTTGCTCACACATCCCATGCCGTTCCCAAATTCTGCATTTCAAGTATCCCTCACATCCCAGGAGCACACCTATGCTGCTGAACTGAACTGCGCTTTTTTGATTGGTTTCATTGGTTGGTGACTTAATGAGTTCATTTTGTAGCTTCAGATATGAACTGCATGTCCACTTTCAAAAACACTTCTCAAAGTATAGTATAATTTAAGGACCCTGTTGTTGAGACCAAATCGGAAAAATGACCTTAGGCACTGGATCAGGCCTGACTGTGACAGTCCGCTGGCGACTGTTCCACACTCCCCTCACCCCCAGAGCTGGGCAGGGGTGGAAGCGGTGCTCCTAACAAGCCACTCTGGTCCACTTAACCCAGAGAGAGGGCTTCTCTTACCCAAGGTCACATGTTAAATCCACAGAGTAATTTTTAAAAGGAGGCCATAGCTGGGCCAATGATTTACATGCATCACGGAGAAATAACGGCCGACCCCCTTCGTTTCCCCAGTCCTAACTCTACTCCATCCAGTCACCTAAGCTGAGACAGTGCGATCCAGAAAGCAGGACCCAGCTGGCTGAAGGCACACAGGCCCAGAAAGATAGAATCAGAAGTCAAACCTGCACAGATGGCCCCCAGTCACGGCTTTCCAGAAACTCAGCAGCCAGTGTTGAGAGGCTGTACTATCACCAACAGGAAGGGATCCTTGGCAGTAACAGCAGGAGGAAATGCAGAGACGATCCCCAGACACTAAGAGAGTCGGTGCGGCTACTGCACTCCAAGGACATTTCTCCTTCGTTTGTTCCCCAGGAAAAGGAAAATTCCAACAATGTGATTGGCGAGGGATGGACATGCGGCAGGGTAGAAAGGAGGTGCCCACGTTATTGCTTTTTTTTTTTATCACAATAGATGACGGATACTGCTGTATATTTCTGGGACAAATACCAGAAGAGAAGTTACACACAGAAATTTATATTCTTAGGTGCTGAGTATCTTACAAATTCTAATGCCGTGCTGTTATGCAAGCAATTAGGCAAATTCCTCTAGCAAGCATTGCTAATGCATACAAATTAAACTGATTTATTTATTTATTTGGCAGCAGGATTTTAGCCACATCCCAAAGAAAATACTTTGGAGGTGGGTGATGGGTAGAGAGGAAAAGAAACCCAACTAGCATTACTAATGAAATTTGGCTGGAAATCACTGTCATCCATTTTCTGATGAAGTGGTTCAGATATGTTTTACCTAACTCAAAACACATAGAGACAGAGATGAAAACATTCTTTAATAATCATGTGCTTCTGATGAGACAGAATATAGAAAATTACACACTGGGTAAATTCATCAGCTAGAAGCAATCAGTGAGGCATGGGGAGTCACCTTGCACACATCCTCACTTTGCTCTTGACAAATAATCACCCGCAATGTTAAACTCCAGCTGACTTCCTCATCGGAATCGCCCACTGCTCTTTGTGTAGCACATCAGCCTAGTTTTCAACTTGGTGAGCATTTGAATCAAATACACAGACATCAGACCAAGCCCAGTTTGAAAACCAGGCCGGGGTCCCTTCTCCCAGGCACAAAGCACAGACACACATACACACACTCAGAAGAACCTTTGCATTAAGGCCGAGATTTACATAATCATATTCCACAACTCTCGAAACTTTAGAACACTTTCCTTGCTGCTGATAGCTGGTGTAAGAGAACAGCAAAGTAAAGCAGGACAGAATCCACTTTTCACAAAAGGAAGCTGAAATCACAGAGCTCAGATAAGGTTTCCTCATCGAAATAGGCTCACCTTGGTTGCCAAGGCTTCGGCACTTTCTCGGCAAGTCTTCTCTATTTCAAGATGGTTCTGCATAAAATTCACTTCCTCTATAACCATGTGAGAAACTAGGAATGAGGGAGAAAAAAACATCTTAGCATTCAGGGATGAGTCAGCTGTTCCAGAAGCCCACGCATCGCCCCATGATTAAGAATACTCCAATTCTTCAGCTGGCAGACTGGGAGCTATCACCAACCAAGTTTTCAGCAGCTGGCCCAGGGCAAAACTCAGCTGATATTTCAACACCAACAGAGAAAAGAACGCCACAGGGTCATCATGGCCATTACATGCATTTTGAAGGAAGCAATTTGGATGTTCCTAGGGGTCTATTTTCCTTGTAGTTCTGTGTCTACCCACAGGCGTATCTGCTCATTTAAATAAAACACTCTCCCATAGATAAAGGGGGCTGGAAATAGGACTTGCTTTTCTTAGCAGGATATGGCACACGGATCTACAAAGGAAAACTGCCTAATAGGAAATCAAAGATAAATCTGAAATTGATCTCATGAATGAATCAGCATTATGGTAGCCCATCTAAGCCTTGTAAGGTTGGTTCTTACTAGTTAACAAAGTAGTTGCTGTTACTCATGATAAGTACGAGGGGATGAATGTAGTAGGTGCTGATGAGACAGGATGCTAATAAAGTGCTCCTTACATCACTGATGGTGAGCAGCAGTCAGAACAAAACTAAATGGAAAGCAGTGATTTTTTTTTTATAGCTGGTTAATGTAAATGGAGATTTAAAGGTACAAAGTAATTCAGAACTTGAGTAAGATTTTTGAAGATTAAGAAAAATTTCAATTCTTCCCACTCGTATTTAGAGTTAAGAGAAAATTCCCAGAACCTCAAACATATACTGATTGATATTTGCTTGATTCAAAAAAAAAAAAAAACAATAATAAAATTAAAGGACATCCAAATGTGAAACCCAACAAAGTTAGCAAAAAGCACAGGGCTCAGATAACACAAAGAGAGATTACTTTTGCTTCATTTAAGCTTAATTAACCTGCAATTATGATTAAACTCAGGGGAAAAAAATTTTCTCTCCAAATTAAATGCAAAAAAAAAAAAATGTATGACTTCCTAAGTCTGTCCCAAAGTTCTTATTATGTTAATATTCAAATTCATAAAACAGCACTAAATGGCCAGAAACATCTCTAACCTTGACATTTTTTCAGGGGTAATAATAATCTGCGGCAAATGCAGGCCAACCAAAAACCACTTAACTAATTAGTAGTTGCAGTCACCGAGAAAAACATGAATCAACACTGTTATTACAAGTGGCACATTTGAGTGGCATCTAATTATGACTTGATGAGCACGATACTTGCATTATCAACATTACCACTGCATCCCATCAGGGCCTAAAAGCTGCTGATGGCATTGACTTGGAGAAACTCCCCTCAATGGTACGGCAGCACCCAACAATCGGCTTGGCAGGGGCCCCCCTCACTAAATGACACGTTAAGCGTAATTACTGGTAGACATTGTAAATAAACAGGATTGGAAGTGAAAATTGTACCAAGTGCATAAGACACAATCTGACACATTGGAAGTGGCAGCCTTAATTGAGAGTTTCTTTGACTGCTCAAGATCATTTCAACTGCATTTCTCCGAGGACAGTGATTATAACTGTGGAGACAGACGGCATAATGCTATCGGCACTGCTGACAGAGCAGTGAATTAAATTGTATCTGCTGCTGTGTGAAAGCCGTGATGAGAGGTACAGATGCCTTAGTGGTCTTATCATTAGAACACAATGGTCATGTTGTCATCAACCTTTCTGGCTCCAATTGAAAAGAAATGATTGTGTGTTGAGGCTGCCCCCCCTTTCCACGCCACCCCCCTTCTCCTCTTCTATCTCTTGTTCTGAATAGAACCAATTTTCAGAGAGCTATGAAATCACGCAATAGGTCCTAAAATGCAGCTGCTTGGCATACAAACGGGTCCCCATTAAACTGGAATCACACACAATATGTGTTTATGCCAGAAGAACAAATAGAAGCTGAACACAGGCCAAGTTTATTCACACACACAAAGCCCGTGTAGCTCTTCATCAATATAATTGCCTTTTATATTGTAGTTTAAATAATAGGCTCTATTATTTCCTTAAAATCCTAATATTCCTGGCATTTTATCACTATGTTTACAAGGTAGGTTCTTCAAAAATGTGAAGGAAAGAGAAAAGAAACCTATACAATTTTTACAACATCAAATATTACTTTGAATTTTTAGCCTTAACTACTTGACATCTTCTGCCACAATCGGGTATTTCCACTATCATAACAAAAAACATAAACACTCTGCATTTTTCACAGGAATTTGACTTTTTATTCAATAACATTCTTGCTCATGAAAGAGTAAGAAAAATCATTCCACAGGGGTGAGGCCTAGGCCTAGTAAGAAGGAAAAAATATATATATACGAAACAAACATTCCTTTTCTAAACATTTTGTAAAAACCTGCCCTGTGATTTAACTTGATAAAGTTAGCTCGAAGGGTCCCACACATACTTTCTTCTTATTCTGAAAGGGTTTCTTCCAGTAGGTGGGGTTTGATGTCTTTCTCAGGGGTGAACTGGTAAAAATGTTGAAACTGGCCTTCATTTTCAATTGAAGAAATGATCCCAAGCCTGGGGCCAGGACTGTGGCACAGAGGGTAAGGCAGTCTTCTGTGACGCGGCCATCACATATCAGCTCTGGTTCATGCAAGAGCTGCTCCACTTCTGATCCAGTTCCCTGCTAATGTCCAGTGAAAATCACAGCCTGTACATGGCCCAGATACTTTGGATCCAGGCAGACCTGCAAGAGAGCTGGATGAAGCCACTGGCTTCAGCCTGACCCATCGCTGGCCATGTGGTCATTGGGGCACTGAACCCATGGGTCTCCCTCTTGCGCTCTCTTTCAAATAAAAAAAGTAATCTTTAAAAAAAAATCTTAAAATATTATCCCAATCATAAATTGGTAACATAGAAATCTGCTATCAACATCATAAGTTATGAAGGGAAGAACATCATATGTTTAGAAAGTATGACCTCATTTCCTAAACCGAAAACTGGACCATATAATACAAAATACAGACACTTTTGACACATAACCTTATTGGTATCTTTCAAAGAATAAAGGTTTTTACAACCTTCAGCTGTCCAGTTAATAATTTTTGTTCCTAAACTTGGACTTGTCTTACAACATCCAAAATCTATAGCCATTACATCCATAACATTCATGTATTTGACTGACACTGATGTCTAAAGGGGGGAAAAGTTGGGCTTTTAATAAACTGACCTAGTAGTAAAGTTACAAAGAACAAAAACATACTAACCTTTCTAAAAGACACACAGAAATATTTACAGCTGGCAAACAATGAGACGGTGATGTCATGAGTTTCATAATAAACCAAGGTCAGTGGGCATGAGGGTGCAGGGGAAGGAAAGTTAGCCATTAAGTTGGTGACTGTTTAAGCTGAACAATGGTGACATTCAGGTTCAATTAACTGGTTTTCACTTTTGTCTAACTTTAAGTTTTTTCATAATAAAAAATATTGAGGGCCCTGAGAACTCAGAAGCATAGCCCACTAGTATACCAACGATCACTCCCAGCAGTCTAACTTAGTTAGCAGAGTGCATCTCTCCTCAAATCGCACACATGGCATCATGGGGCGCGCGTGCTTTTCTTGCTATTTTTGTCTTCTGTGGAGTACCACAGCAGGACTTCTGCTTTATGCCCGTATAGTGCTGCATACAAAGCAGGTACTCGTGTCTGTGTGTGTGACAAGGGCTGAAACCTGTCAGGCTTGAGTTTCCGTATGGACACCTTTTCCAGGAGGGTTCTGTGGCAGCAACTCTCGGCACCATCTGGCCGTGCACTGAACCCTTTCCATGTGGTCCCTTGGGAAGCCACACGGCAGCACTCTAAGGTAGGATTAGAGGTGGCCTTTTGACATATCTGGGGATGCCGAGGCTGGGAGAAGTCGCATGTTCCAGGTACTGCTTGCCAACCGGCCATGAGTGAAGATGTCAAGGTGAGATGTCACTTGGCTAGCCAGGCTCGGCCCCAAGGAGATGCAGGGGATCTTAGGGCCAATGAATAGACATTATCTCAAAGCCTTCTTCAACGTGATATTTACCCAGAATGGTTCTCATGTGGGCAAAGAAAAAAGCCATGGAGGGTGCATATTGGGAGGAAAGCTGGTGGATTCCTTCCCAGTGGGCACAGCTCTGCCTGCCAGGTAGGGGACTTTGTGCAGATAGATAGGGTGCTGGGAGGAGCAGGGATCAGGGGAACCTGCCCCTGTCTACATCCAGCCACAGGGCACTAAGGCAAACACTACAGGGACTCTAGATCTCAACCTCACATCAAGATTAACTGTCCAGGTGGTGCTGTGGCACAGCCCGCTGCTCTCCACCTGCAGCACTGGCATCCTATATGGGCACTGATTTATACAGATGATCTGGTCACCTTATCCCTCCCACTCCCAGCCTGAAAAACATGACCATTCATCCTGATTCCATGCATGTGGAAACTCCATCAGCATGCTACGTGGAGTCATAGGAAATACTGTCATTTGCTGGTGGCAAAACAGTGGCTTCATTCCTTTCTGAAATGCTACCCTGTTTACAACCGTGAATTATCTAGCTCAGGTCTAGGACTTGTTTTTGTATTTAAAGAAAAAGAAAAACAAAATTTTGATTGGGGGGGGGTCCTTATTATTCTTGTCGTTTTAGACTGAGTGGAGTTAGCACTGTTTTTCCTGCTATCCAAATTTTAAGCAGACTTATTCAAGTAAAGCTGAAAACTGAATGAAAACATCAGAGGTTATTCTACCCACATTCATCCTTAATGCTTTGGGTCTCTGAGCTGCCTACAAAGAAAACTACATTAGAAAAAATCAAAACACAAAATACAACTTTCAAAGGTATTTAGAGAAGACACAAAGGCCTGGGGAGTGGAAGCCAGGCTCCCATGCTACCCTACAGAGGGATCTGGGGAAAAGTGGTTTCCATGTGCCTAATTCAGGAGGCAAAATCCCTACTGCCGCCCCAGCCCAAACATTTCATGATAAGGCCAATTACCAGAAACTTCCAACTGTCTGCACCTCACACAGTATGCCAATCTGCTCTCAACAATCCAAGCACACTAACTGGTGTAATGCTTTCTGATGTGACTCAATTCCAAGCGTACCACACGCACCCGGCACCGAGCAAGGGTGGGGTGCCACCCAAGTGCAATGCCCACAGTCTCAAGCAACAGGCATTCCCAGCGTTAACACTGCGGTCTCCAGAGACACCCACCACCAATGGCATTCTGCCCTGGTCTCCTGGGTTACAGCCAGTTGCTGCCATGAACTGGCATCCAAAATGTAACCATGCTGCATTTTCAGAGCTACTTTAACCTTCAGGTAGCATAAGATGGTTTATGGTGTGGTTACCAAGGCCACACCTCCTGTACAATCAGGAGTCTGAGGGCCGCAGCATCAGCAAGACCACAGGGCAAGGCCTGACGCCCAAGACGAGGGCCCCTTTCACTGCCACGCTCTGGCTTCTCGCCCATCTGAGTCCCATTAGAGCCATGTCCTAGCCAAACAGACTGATTTCATTTTTTCTAAGACTGGCAAAAATTTACAAGATGAGTTATTGGGCTCTCATGGGAATACAACTTTCCTATTGGTGCTACACTCCATTCAAACTCTTAAAAACATCTGAGCCTTGTGAATCTAGAATTCCTCTTTTTTTTTTTAATATTAACTATGAGGTATAAGCGACATTTCAAAACCCAGACATGATTACTGTACTCAGTGTGTGGAGTCTGGAGACAAGCAGGCACTTGTGAAAGCCACACCACAATGAAGGTCAAAGACATAGCCATCACCTCCCAAAGTTTCCTCCGGCCCCTTACCTGCTTATTTATATTTTGCTGGCAAGGACATTTAGCACAGGATCCACACAGTAAGTCCAACGGACGGGCTCAGTGCTTCAGAATGGATCTCAAGCAGCACTCCTTGTAATGCACATTAACCCAAGGAGCCCACCCAGATCTCTACAAAGATGCACGTACAGGACTATCTACCAGGGCCCTACTTGTAATGGCTTCCCACCAGAGAGCCTCTCTCTGTGAGGGCACATCTAAGTGAGCCATGGTCCTAACCTATCATAGAGCACGGGGTGATGATGAACTGATGCACTCCTCTGCTCACGTGCCAAGAGGACCACAACACACAGCCTACTGAGAAACAGCAGTTGTTGACAGAGCACCAGCAAGGGCCACTCGACATCTAGCTCTGCATTGCTCAGGTGGGTTTTGCTCATGTGGTCAAGGTAAGCAGCTTTCTGCTAACATTTCTAAATAGTAAAACTTTTTTATAACAAGTACGAACTCCTTGTAACGGTATCATCCTAAAAACAATAGTGCTTATTCCATTTCCTTACAAATCCAAGTAATCCCAGGGCATTTAGGGGAGTTATATGAAAATACATCTTTTTTTTTTTTTTTTTTACAATATTGGGGGGGAAAAAAGGCCATCTGTCTCCACTCACAAAGTTCCCAGTCACACACATCGCCATGATCCCGTTGAAATGCTTACATACTTTTCTGAAATTCTTCCAGCTTTTTAATAGCTTCATCTCGTTCTTGCCTAATTTTGTCACACTGAAATGAGAGAGAAGAAAAGTTAATTTGCATCGTAAATTTTAAATTTAGAAAGGCAAAAATAAAAAGCAACCTTACAAACAGCGGCAATTTTTCAAAAACAAAAGAAAATTAAACGCTCAGGAAAGCATCCATGGTCACCTGGCATTTGTATACTCAGACCTGACCAATTTTCTAGGCCTCCCTAATGTGTCACCTTACTGTTCATGATCGCCTAACATTCCGGGGTGAAACACGTTCATTTCCTAAGAGAACTGCTGTGCCTCCTCTGAAGGAAGCTGATGGACACACACACTTGCCCAGCAGCCAGGTGCCCGGCAGGAGCGTCATCCTTGCAACACATGCCGGTGCACACCTGGAAATGAGAGCAAAGTTTCCAGAAAGGAGGCCAAAGGCCACCCCCTACCCCCTGGGACTCCCATACCTGCAGAGATCTTTGTGTCTCCAGAATTCTGAATAGAGGTTGGCAGTTAAGAAGAGATTCCATATCCTGCAGTAAGTGTATGTCATTTACACAACTGGACTTATCCTTTCCCAAAGTGGAAGGACTCACCGAAAGTCCAAAGAAGGGAAAACCAGAGCCCTCAGGTAGTTGGGGGGGAGGGGGCGGGGACAAGTGAGCCCCTACTTCCACAGGCTCTGAGGGAATCTGAATTCACAAGCCCAACATTCATCACGAGGACTGAACTTTGTCCACCCCGGATTTCATAAACCAAGGCACCCTACAGACCTTTTCATCCCAAGTATCTAAAACATCAAGTATTTAGATCCAATTTTAACTTTTCAAGTAGTCATTACAATTTTAATTTCCTGGGGAGACTATTCCCCTGTGAGTACTGAATACAGAAAGTACAACTTCCAATTACATTTGACTCCTAGTGGGTCAAAAAGATATACCTGGATTTCATTCCTTTTGATGCCTCTGACTTCGGAGACCACATCACAGGGCCAGTGGCCATTTGGAAAGACCACATCAAAACAGTGAGATCTTCTTGCCTGTCAGATTGGCTAAATCGAGAAAGGAAAAAGCCAAGAACTGGAAACTCTCCCATGCTGTTGGTGGACTTTCAAATTGGATTAACTGCTTTGGAAAGAAACTTCTAGCAAACATGAAAATACACACACCCCATGACTTGGCAATTGCACCTCTGGATGCATACACCCAGAGGTCCTCTGACAATGTATCCAGGATGATACAGACCACAGTATCCAGCATTTATAATAACAGCAAACCGCATATATTCATACAGAGCAGGGAAACTGTACTAAAGTTGCATATCTCAACAATAAAAGATCTTGAAAGCTATCATGAGTTGAGTAAAAGGAATAGCAGACCTATATCAAACGACAGCTTAAGGACACAGAACGTTTTGTGTGTTTATATTATATATACACCATCATACTTTAATAAACATACATCACATCCAAAGACATGGACATGAAATGGAGGCGTACAGACAGAATCTACAAGAGCAGTGCTCTCTCGAGAATCAGTAAAGAAAACAGAGATAACGATGGGTGACATGAGGATCTCCAATATTACTGTAGCTTTTTAGTTAAAAAAAAAAAAAGTTAACTTTGTGTAATAGGTGTTTAGCATATTATTCCAAATTCTGCCTTGGACTGTCTACAAACAAACAAGATGGACCAAGGATCATTTTTTAGAGAAGGAAAAGCATCATGATGGATTCCTTGTGGAAATCCATACTGTGTCATCATAATCATCAAATAGCTTCTAGTTCCAATTTACCATATAACTTTATCCTTTGGGAGTGGTCGGTTAAAATTCTAGCCACTGGAGTGCTATAGGCTTTTCTTAGCCCTCTCCCCTGCTGGACTGGACCACATCAGACAGATGAACTCTTAAGTCTGACACTGCTGCCCAACTCCTTCTGGAATATTCCTCTAGATTTTTAATTTGGTCTTTGTTTTGGATTTGCCCATCACTAGTGCTCCTAAGATGCTCAGGAGGGTCTGAGGCACAAAAAGAAACTTAATTTCTGACCAGACTCAAGGTCCCAGTCATGTTCATTGGATAAGACACATGTGGTCTTTTGTTTCCAAATTAACTGCAAGTGCAAGATGCCCATGAGAACTTCACAGGAACAGTCTCCATGAAAGAGTTGGCTTCTGAGTTCATGCCACTTGGGACCCCTCTACACACTTCTCTCCCCTGCAAAAACTGAGGTTGATGGAGTCCTCGCCAAAACCAAGTAGCACATCCTACACTGAGACTTACCAGAATAAGGGCATTAATCAGGCCTGGTCAGGTCAGATCTCAAGAAAAGCTATCAGCTGACATCAAATGCAAACCACCCACACAGAGACCATTACTCACAAGTAATGCAAGACAGTCTTGGGCAGGCTGGACCAGTGGCTCAGAAGAAAGACTTAATGTCCATGCTCTCTACTACCCACCTACCTACTGGTAAACCTCCCAAATTTCAGAAGCAGAGAGCTTAATCCAAGTTTCACAGGGTGCTAGGGCTCCACTGCCTTCCACGGTGTGCATTAGCAGAAGAGCTGGATCCCAAACTCAGACACTGAGAGGGGATGTGGGTGTCGTACCGTAACTGTGCAGTACCGTAACTGCTGTGCCAGTACCGAGCCCCAGGGCTCCCTGGTCTGCAAACCCAGGGAAACAGGCTTGGCGTAGCAATGGGGCTCACCATCACACTCACTCCAGCACCCCGGCAACCACTTTCTAGAGGCCACCCATGCCATGTTCACAACAGTCCTTTAGTTATCACTAGCAAATTCACAAGCTGTTTCCCAGTCCCAGCTGTGTCCTATCAGGGGTCTTCACATGGCTTTGCTTTCTATTTTCTGCACACATTATCACAGAACTGGCAGCTACAGAATTTACCATCTGCTAGGCTGAAAGAAATGTGTGCTGGGAGTGGGGGAGTCTACCCATGTGGCCAATGGGGCTTCCTTATTTCACACCAGAGCTGAAAAGAATCCGAAGGATGCATCCACTTCCTAAGCAGGAACCCAAACACACTCTTCCTTCATCATTTTAGGTAAACCCAGAAAAACACCCTGCAACCTTCCTCTTGCCCTACCAGGGAGGAGTGAGCCAGGGCACTGGGCCCCAGGGGGAGAATGTTCATCCTCCCACCACACACAAGCCCCTCGCCGCACCCCCCCCCAAGTCTGCTCATGCAGCTGCACCATTTGTTACAAACTGCTTCTTTTTGTGTGAGAATTGCTCATGAAGACTCTGCAATAGCAACAGATGTGCTGGGGCCTGCATCACTTAATTAGGATGCCTGATGCCTCTCTGCAGCTCAAGGCTGGGGCAGAACCCAGCAGCATCAGCGCCGGCTGCTTTGAAGGATAACATCACAGCTACCCTAGAGCCTCCATTTCGGCCATGGTCAAGTGGTGAGTTGACCAGAGGTTGGCCTTGCTGCTTTTGAAAAACCTCAATATTATCCGCTCAGGCTATTTTCTGGATATCTTCCTGGAGCCTCCCGCAGGCGGATTCCTGGCTTCTGAAACTAAACCAGGACTCCAGAGCCCTGAGTAGGCTGGCTCACGGGGCAAAGTCTGGTGTGAACTCCAGCTCTGCTGTCCCTGCCCCCAAATGGGCAGCTCACCTGTCCACCCGACATCAACACCAGAACCCTGCTGAACAGGGCTCAGCAGAAGCCCAGGGGGCCGATGCAGATAAGAGGATATCTTTATTTCATGGTGGTTACGTTTTATGCAGGAAACAAATCGTAACGTTCTGAATTGTGGCCAACTTCCACTAATGTAAACATTCATGGTTATCTGGCCGGAGCACAAACACCACAGAAAAAAATTCTAGCCCACAGAAAGCACAGTTTGAAGTTCAAGAAGTACAGACACGCACTGCATACACAGAACACCAGGGGACTGGACAGTCTTTCATACAGGCAAACACCACCTGGTGAATGGAAGCCGACCTCTAAGCAGCTCCTGTAGGCAGTGATGTTTCTATTCCTTTCCTTTGAGCACTGAGCCTACATGCGGTGGGCGTTGTCATCAATACAGCCACACGTGTCCTCACAAAACTGAGGATCCGCTGGAAGACACCAACCACGAGAGAAGCACTTGTGGAAGGATACCGGACAGGAATCCTCGACTGCCAGACGCGTGGCAGAGGCTGTGGCACTGAACCTGAAGCCCTCCTGACTGCCTGCTCTTGCCCTCCCCCGACACACACATGCCACAGTTCTGCAAGTTCACTCCTTTTACGTCCAGTGACAACATTTGAAAATGTAAACATGCACAGTGTTAGAATGGCCTGCAGATGCACCTGTCTTAGAATTCTGGCTGGTGGCAGTGAGAGGAGCATCAGATGGTGTGTGTTACTGAAGCTCTAAATGCAACTGTGCTTTCTGCATTCTACACACTGGCTCACACACAGAAAACACAGCACATGCGACATTCCCACCGGGACGGAATGCCTTTCGCACACCCTCTTTTGTGCTTCTTCTTTCTTCCAGTTTTAAGTTCTTTCCCTCTGATTTTCACAAGGAAAAAAAGAGAAGCCACAGCTCCCACCAACACCAAGCTGCCTTGCAGCATTCTGCAAATTCTAGATAATCTGTGTGAGATGGGAACACATGTCATCCAAACAGAGATCCTTGCTCTTTGTTTCTGGATAGATTGCTGTTAATAAGAGACTCATTTTCACTTTCAAACTGCTAAATAATTACTTTTTCTCTGGCACAACCACTTGCCACTCCATCTCAAAGAAACTGCATGTATGTAGATGTATTATGCATGAACAGTTAGCATAATGGACACACATCTTGCTCTTTTAAAGTGGTTTCTTTATTGATTTTTTTCTCCCCCACATAAAAATAAAATACTTTGGGACCTTCGCCTCTGAGTACTACCTAACAGGAAGACATCAGAAACAATAGGCAACTGAGCCAAGACGCAAACAGTATCATGTATCTTGCTTCTTGAAACTTAAGTCTTGGAAAGCGTCTGTCTCGCTCCCATTTCATTCATGGTTCCTGGCA